TCTCACTGTATATATATATATATATATATATATATATATATATATATATATATATACACGCACACACACACACACACATATATATATATATATATATATATATATATATATATATATATATTACAAATATTCTTACTTTAATAACTTTAATAGGTGAATTAAGTTTCTAGTTATATAATATTTACCTTAATATATTTAGTCAGACTGATTTAAATTAAGTCGAATAGAAAAGCTACATTGATTCAACTAAATAATTTAAGGCGAGACACTTTTTTTTTTTACAGTGAATAAACATACATATACCACCTAATGTTTATAAATCTGCCTAACTACAATAAATATAATCATTATGATCTACAACATAATGTACAATTCTCATAAATCTCCAATGTTCACATGTTCCATGTCTTAAAATATAAATGCTTCTTTATAATATCAATTAATAATCAATATATGTTCACATGTTAAGGAAAAACTGGTGCATTGCTTTGCCTCACCTTCACATGCATCACAACAGCGCCGTCTGTTGGTGAGGAGAGAAACAGCACAACATAAATATTGCTCCTGCAGAAAAAAAAAGAATCTCACAATGCTTATTAGATGGTCAGTATTTCACAATCAATGATTTATTTTGTCTTTTTATGTGAACAAAGTGTACAGATAGATATAACAGATCAGAAATAAAGTTGATCAAAGAGCTGCTGATAATAGGAGATACTCTGCATTAATAATGTGATTTGATTGTGCTTTCCCCCCTTTTTAATCAATAAAAAGAGATTGAAAGTTAATCATTGTTAAACACACTCTGGTTACATAACAACAACTTAAAAAGTAAATAATCAAATAAACAAAGAGGTAAATAAATTAATGCATTAACCCATAAGTGAAAGATTTAGTAAAAGTATAACAGTATACACAATAAACACATTAATAAAATTGCACCTTAACAGTAATAACAGATATTCCTCTTTCATTTTAGAGAATAATAATATAATCATAACATTAGAATCTCTCAATGTCACATCGCCGTTTTCAATGCAAACAAGACATTTCTCAAATAATATCTTTAAATTATGGAATATTTTCTGATGACAGCCAAGCAAAATCAAGTTAAATTGTCATACAAAACTAGTGGGTGAAAGGTCATCCGCTGCATAAAACATATGCTGGATAAGTTGGCGGTTCATTCCGCTGTGGCGATCCCCGATTAATAAAGAGACTAAGCCGAAAAGAAAATGAATGAATGAATAATATAGAAATAGAATGAGAGTGTATGGGTGTTTCCTTCATTCTGCTGTGGCAACCTCTGATGAATAAGGGACTGAGCCAAAAGAAAATGAATGAATGAATATAGAGATTTTCGTCTCGCCATGGTAAGAAAATCTCTGCTTTAGTGTGTCAGTAAGGGGCTGTTCACACCCGGTCACATCAAGTGTTTTTTTTTTCTGATAGTAAAGATATCAGATTGTGAAATGGACAGGTGTAAATGTGAATATAAATACGATAAGGAAGTGGTTTCCAGATAAAATTATACAGATCTAAATGCATCTGGTTGTTAAAACCACTTGTCAACTTTACTCCTTACAAAATATTAAAAATAAACATGAGAGGTGTTGTGGGCTACGTGATTAATAGATTTACAAGCGCAACAGGCGATTTTTTTAATGCTTTAATAAAAAAGATGGTTTGTTTTTATTTTTGACGGTGAAATAATAAAAGATTGACAAAATTGACAGTACAATACAAACACAGAGCAGCACCTGTAGCCTATCTCCGCGAAAAGATAAATAATCAGAGAAAAATATAGCGCTGTGGTCATTTTATTTTGTTTTTGGAAATATTTTTGTTATACACTGTCTTTACAGTTTTGAATGATGTCTTACACATATCTGTACAACAAAAATAGATGTTTTATTTAGCCTATAATGACAGTAATAAGCCTATCTTTGTGCTTGTAATTATGTTTTTTCTGCATTTGAACATCAAATAATATATATAGTTTACGTTTCTGTAAATGATAATGTTAATTAAATAAAATGTGGTGTATCTGACACTTTAGTCGATGTAACCTAGTTAAATAGCGTAAGGTTTGAAGATCAGAATCATATTCGTTTAGCAGAGATGCATTCATCTGGTCAAATATAAATGGAAACATTTTTAAAGCTAAACTAAAATCTGTAAACAAACCCTAAATGTCTTTTAGAAGAAAGTCTAATCAGAGTTTGGTAATCAGTTTCAGATGTGTATGCGTAATGAATGCAAAGGATTGTGGGAAATGTAGTCCAGGTGGTTAATGAATTGTACGGATAGTGTAAACCATCCCTTAATGTCTTTTAGATGAGAGTCTAATCCGAGTTTGGCTAATCAGTTTTAGATGTGTGTAATGAATGTAAAGGATTGTGGGAGGTGTAGTCCAGGTGGTCAATGAGTTTTACTGATAGCTTTAAACAGCCCTAAATGTCTTTTAGATGAGAGTCTAATCTGAGTCCGACTTATCAGTTTTAGATGTGTGTGTGATAAATGCCAGGGAATGTGGGAGGTGTAGTCCAGATGGTTAGTGGATTTTATGAATAGCTGTAAACACCCCCTAAGTGTCTTTTAGATGAGAGTCTAATCAGTTTCAGATGTGTGTGTGTAATGAATGCAAAGGATTGTGGGAGTTGTAGTCCAGGTAGTTACTCAGTTGTACGGCAAGCTGTAAACGGCCCTACATCTATTTTAGATGAGAGTCTAAGTAAAGTTTAGCTAATCAGTTTCCGATGTGTATGCGTAATGAATGCAAAGGATTGTGGGAAATGTAGTCCGGATGGTTAATGAATTGTACGGATAGTGTAAACAGCCCTAAATGTCTTTTAGATGAGAGTCTAATCCGAGTTTGGCTAATCAGTTTCAGATGTGTGTGTGTAATGAATGCAAGGGATTGTGGGAGGCGTAGTCCAGGTGGTTACTCGGTTGTACGGATAGCTGTAAACACCCCTAAATCTCTTTTAGATGAGAGTCTAATCAGAGTTTGGCTAATCAGAAGGTGTAGTCCCGGTGGCTCGTGGACTGTTGGGATACCCGAAGCACCCTCTAGTGGCTCTCATAGGCAGCTTATAGTCATGACAAAACTATTATGTTGAAATAAACAGTGTTGGAAGAAAAAAGTAGTAGTTATTAAAGCTGCATTTTATTCCTTTAAAACACTGATTACCATGATCACATCGCAAATAGTTTCAAAATCTGTCAAGACAACTCAACAGTTGGTTTAAAACCATAAACCAACATAAGAGCAAATATAACAGCAGACACCATGGATTATTGTGAGAACATAGAAGAAGGCATTTCTCACAGAATGTAAAGAAAAGTAAAGAAGCCACAGGAATGTGATGTTATCAGTCGAACCAACACATCTGAAAACTGCTGACTTTAACCACACACGCTTCAATGATACGGAAGTTTCGGTGGCAAGAAAGTCGATGATGAAACACTTCAGTAATACTGACAGACCGAACGTGCTCATACAAGACTGTCCTGCTCAGCGTACACGTGCTAAATCAGACTTTATTAGCTTTCTCTGCTATGCTAAGAAGCACTTTTAACAAATAAAAAGCTGCAATAGCAAACGTCAGTGAACAGAACGATTGACTTGAGTTGAAGTGTACAACTCGGTTATAAAATAAAATGTCATTAAATTAAATTAAATTAAATAAAGGGTTGTATTAAATAAGCTGTAATAATAATAATACATTTGTATTTTATGGAGTTCAGGATTGTTAAAGTTAACATTCCCAAAGTTACATTTGAGTTCTTGAAATAAACATAAGCTTATAATAAAATAAACCAGAAAGTTGTCAAGACAACATTTCTCATTTCATTTAGTGACTTAAGTTACATTCATTTTCTTATCGGCTTAGTCCCTTTATTCATCAGAGTTCACCACAGCGGAATGAACCGCCAACTAATCCAGCATATGTTTGACACAGCGGATGCCTTTCCAGCTGCAACCCAGTACTGGGAAACACACACACACACACGTGTACACTACGGCCAATGTAGTTGATCAGTTCCCCTATAGAGCATGTGTTTGGACTGGGGGAAACTGGTGCACCCGGTGGAAACCCACGCCAACACGGGGAGAACATGCAAACTTCACACAGAAACACCAATTGGCCCAGATGGGACTCGAACTAGCAACCTTCTTGTTGTGATGTAACAGTGCTAACCAATAAGCCACCGTGATGCCTAACTCTACCTTAAAACTAAAACTGACATAAAATAAGTACATAACAGAGTCAATATTAGTTAACTATTAAATACAATGAAATGCATAATGGCTAATTGCAAGAAAATAAATGCTAAGTGAAATAAAATAAAAAATAATAACATTAAGCTTTTTATTATTAAAATCAAATATTTAAATTCACCGGTTGTCAAGAATATATACATTTTTAGTTTAGTTTAATTTATAAAAACTATAGTTTATAAAAAAATTGTAATCACTACTAGCTTAAATTAAATTGATCTATTTAAAATCAAAATTATCATACAATATAACTCCTAAAATTTTATTGTAAATGAAAACTAAACACACATACTTATACAGGGTTCATACACATTTTTACTGCTAAAATTCCATGATTTTTCCAAGACTTTGAGTAAATTGTCATGACCTAATGTTTCATGCAATGTCTACTTATGCATGTTAATTAACAATACATGTTAAAATTTATTACAGCATATCATAAAACATGCAGCAATCTATTTAGTTTCAATTTATATCTATGTAAAATTGATTCAGATCATGCTGACACCGCACTAATAATGTGAGAGTAGAGTATGTGATCTGCCAAGGACAGAAAAAGAAGACAACTAACCTAAATTCAAGAATACAAATATCAGTTCTCCATGACTTTTCCAAAACTTTAACTCCGATTTCCCCCACAGTCCAAACACATGCGCTATAGGGGAATTGATCAACTAAATTAGCCGTAGTGTATGTGTGAACGAGTGTGAATGGGTGTTTCCCAGTACTGGGTTGCAGCTGGAAAAGCATCCGCTGTGTAAAACTGTGCATGTATAACTGCTGTGAATATGTTGGCGGTTCATTCCGCTGTGGTGAATGAATGAATCAATTACCATTTTCAACAAATTATATACAAAATTATAAAGAATAAATAAAAAAACAACAAATGCAGAAATAAAACGGTTATAAAAACAATAACAGTAGTACACACATTCTAGTTAATATTTCCAATTAACTAATTTTTCTGTTACTATATAATATATAATTTTTTTTACTCAGAGAAAACAGGATTCTCATTTTTTTTTTAGTCCAGATATAAACGGCAATCCAGATCTCATGAGCCACTATTTAAAACCAGCGTTCAGATTTCTGATGCCACAATAATGCTGTCTGTCCATTAATGAAGCAATCAGGATGTGTGTGCGTGTGTGTCGAACTGAAACCCTCCTCTACAAACCGATAGTGTAAAACATAAGAAACACTCCCTCTCTCAGCATTTAATCATCCAGCAGCAGAAACAGCTCAACCACCAAACCAGAGCTCTCAGACCAGAGTCAATGCATGCAAGAGGACACAAGCCTCGCAAGAAGGTAAGAGATGCTCCCGACACACATCTGAACAGTCCTGCAGATCCACTACAAAACAAACTATGAGGATTTAGTCAAGTCAGTGTTTGTTTAGGAAGCACTTTAAAATACTAAGACGAACAAAGAAAACAGACATCTCATATGGTGCTAAAAGCCAAAGAAATGAGTGGAAATGAGTTTTAAGACTAGACTTAAGCACAGAGCTTGTAAACGTAGGTTCTGCAAACTAAAATAAACGGATGAGCACATCTATAGCTGAAGTCAGAATTAAAATTTCCTTGCTTCAATAAATATCACTTGATAAATACCTGAAAAAGAGTACATAGATCATAGGAGGGAGGGCTTATAATTCATTGATGAAGTTTACTATTGAATTAACAGAGAAAGGTATCCTTATGCTAGTCCATTTAGGGATATAAACACCAAGACTATCTTAAAACGTACTCTTAAAGTTAAACAGGCAGCCGGGTCGAGATAAAAATAAGTATAATCTTTTCAAAGACACTAATAGACTAGCTTTAATTACTGGATTAATCTGTTTTTCCAGTTTGAAGTCAACATCCCTAATAACAGCCAGGTCTTCACATTGAGATTTAGAACACATTCAATGGGACGAGTGGCTCAGGTGTACAGTACGTGCTGAAGCTGAAGGTGTGTTCGGTGGTTCGTTCACATAGCAGGAATGCATTATGGATGTGTGTAAACAGGTTGTGAATGGGTGGACACCTGTGGGCGGACTATTCAGAAGCCTTCAGGTGATAAAGTTAACATTCCTGCGAGACACTATTCTTTAAAAAAACACACACGAAAGCTCACAGCATCACGCGAACACTGCAGCAGAGTTCAGGAAACAGTGGCTTACTGATAGGGATGAACTACTGTTTTTGCATTGATGCTATTTAATGCATTGATAATAAAATTATACATACAAGATAACCACTGCTAAAATGTAAATGCCAAAATACAATAAAAGACAACTGAAGTATCAGAAACAGGCATAAAAACACAGTAAAGGAGACGCGGTGCAGTGATTTTTGCATTGATACTAATTTAATGCAATAATAATAGCGTTAACATAATTGATAACAAAATTGTAGGTACAAGATAGTCATTGCTAAAACGTGAAATTGAAATGAAAACTGAAAATACATTAAAAGACTACTACAGTATCATAAGCATGCTTAATAACACAGTAACTGATAGAGATGCACTAATAGGATTATAAACGTTTCAGTAAAAATATTCAGTAAATCAAAAGTTTTTTTGTGATTATTTAAATCTACAGTATAATTAGCTTCAACTAAACTTTACATAGATTACAATTATTGGTAAAATAAAAATTGAAAATAGATTAAAAAAAAGGACAACTAGTCTCTTAAACATGCTTAAAACACAGTAACAGAGATGTGGTGCAGTGACTTATTGATAGGGTTGAATTATTGTTTTTTGCATTGATTCTTTTGCATTTATACTAATTTAATGCAATAATAATAGTAAAAAATTATTAATATAATTGATAATAAAATTGTACATGCAAGATAATGATTGGCAAAATGTAAAAATTTAAAACTAAATAAAAAAAATACATTGAAAAAGACAACTAGAGTATCTTAAATATGCTCAAACACACACACAGTAACAGATGTAGGGATGCACTAATAGGATTTTATTTTATTTTTTGATCACGCTGTAAAAGGTTTCAGTAAATCTGCAGATTTTTTTTCGTGATAATTTTGTAGTAACTATTTTTGATGCATTAAAAATGGAAACTGAAATAGCAATAAAAGACAAATAGAGTGATAAACATGCATACAAACACAGTAAAGGAGACAGAAAAAAAGATGCACTACTGCTACTGTTTTTGCATGGATATTAATTTAATGCAATAATAATAGCGTTAACATAATTGATAAAAAAATTATGCATACAAGATAATCATTGCTAAAATGTGAAATTTAAATGAAAACTGAAAATACATTAAAAAACTACTAAACTACACATAAACATGCTTGATAACAGTAATGGAGAAATGGTGCAGTGACTTACTGATAGGGATGCACTAATAGGATTACATAATGACTATTGTAAAACGTTTTATGTACAGTATAATTTTATGTACATTATAATTTTATGTACAATATAATTAGTTTCAACAATTTTGATGCATTTGAAAGCATGAAAATTAAATTTCACATACAAGACAATAATTGGTGAAATGTGAAATAAAAAAAATTGAGAATAGATTAAACAAGACAACTAGAGTATTGCTTAAAACACACAGTCACGGAAGACGTGGTGCAGTGACTTACTGATAAAGATGAACTAATAGAATTTTGCTTATTTGTTTGATCACCCTGTAAAAGGTTTCAGTAAATCTGCAGTGTTTTATGGTAATTATGTAGTTTAATGTTTTGATGCATTAAAAATAAATGAAAGAATTAAATGAAAACTAAAAACACATAAAAAGACAACTAAAGCATGCTTAAGAACACTGTAACAGAGACGTGGTGCAGTGACTTACAGATATGGATGCTCTAATGTGAGGCCACACTGTAAAAAGTTTGAGTAAATCAGCAGTTTTTTTGTGATTTTTGTGATAATCTGATGTACAGATATTAAAATACGTATTGCTTCCTGCTAAAATAAACAGTTTTGATGTATTTAAAACTACATTTTTCAAAATATCTTCCTTTGTGTTCAACAAAAACATGGCTGTTTTGGTGCTGTCAAATATCAGCACTGTTTGATAAATATACTGGAGTATTTTCTGTTTTAATAACAACAGTTCTGAGAAATACACACAGCCATGCATACCTTAGTGAAAAACACACACAGGAGGTATTGTGACACGACCACTTCATTTCATTAAAAACAAAGCATGTTCTTATTTCATAATCCGTCTGCAATGAGGAAACGGCTCTTGCTTAATTTCACGGCCACTTCTGCCACTGAACATTTTAAAACCGTTTAATGCATCGATGTATTTTTTATGTAAAAAAGTTGCTTCATATTAAGCTGGCTTGTTAATAGATTTAATTTATAGGTTTATTTGATTATGAATAAAAGTATAACTCAGAATTTATACAGTGCGGAAAATAAGTATTAAACATGCACCATTTTACTCAGAAAACATACTTCTAAAGGTGTCGACGACTTGAAATATTCAGCAGATGTTGATAACAACCAAAGAAATGAATATATGAAATCAAATCTAATTAGTTTACAAAAGAAGTTCTGTAAAATAAAACGAAATGGCGCAGGGAAAGAGTGTTGAACACATGAAGAAAGGGAGGTGTATTTGTGCAGTGAAGGCCCAGACAGCAGCTGAAATCTCTCAGTAGTTCTTCAGCAAGCCTCTGCCCTTCATTGTAAATGAACATCAGCTGCTTCAGTCCAACATCTACATCAGCAGGAGGATGAAGATCAAACACACATTCTCTATTTTGACGGTCCATGTTCATAGCGCAAAACGCAGGCCGTTTTTAGCATTTTTGCTAATTTAAAGATGGGAAAATCCGCTTTGCACCGTGGCGCATGGTCTAAAAGGGTTGAGTTTATTTTCTTAATGAGTTATAGGTGTGTTTTGAGAATAAACCAATTAGAGTCTCATCTCCCATTCCCTTTAAGAGCCAGCTGCGTCACGCCATAAGCGCATTTTGACGTAAAGTAAGTTCACTTTCGCTTTTGCTCTCGTGGATTGGGAAACCTGACCGCACAGACCTCAATTTGCCTATAAATAATTAATTTAGTTTGTTAAGCGCAAAGATTTGTTTCAAAACTATTTTTAAATTCAGTTCTAATTTCCAGCAAACAAATAAATGATTAATAATAACAAAATGTGCTCAAAATGCTGAGTTATTTCCAAATACACCCGCCATGCCCCATATGGTCTAAAATATGACAGGTGGACAAATCTAAGCTTGTTTTTAATAAAACAAATATAAATATGGATATAATAAATAATACTGCTAATAATAATAACATTATACAAAAGCAAATTGAATGAACTGAAAAAGCCTCCCGAGATGAAGGCAGTATGACGGCAGTGGTTTTTAAACTCATATAGGCTAGAAATTAATATGTTTTGTAATATTTTAATTATTTATATTTATATCCTATATATATCCTTATTATATATATATATATATATATATATATATATATATATATATATATATATATATATATATATATATATATATATATATCCTTAATATATCATATCTTTTTCATATGTAAAGATATTTGCGTATTGCTCTACATCTTGTTTGTAGTTTGTAAGCCAGGCGCACTTTGCGCCAGACAATAGTCCGACTTTGTTTTGGTCTAAAGAACGGACTATTTACAGTTCCTCAAAATAGCAACGCGCCAAAACACGCCTGCTTTTTTAGACCAGAAGGCCTATGGGCGCACATTTGAGCGCAAATGCATTTGCTATTTAAACAGTGTGGCGCAACACTGGCACACGCAAATGACCCTTGCGCCGAGCTGAAAGTAGCAAAAGACTATTGCGCCACATTGCGCCGGGTGTATGATAGGGCCCATAGATACAAAACACAGCCGAGGAGACTCTCAGATGCTTTCATAGAAAGAAAATCAATCCGTAGAATGGCCCAGCCAATCACCTGAACTGAATCCAATAGAGAATACAGAATAAAGCTCAGATTTGATAGACGAGAGCCACAGAAGCATCAAGATTTACACACTCTGTTGACGTCTGTAAGAAACTCACACCTGAGCACTGCATGAGGCTTCCTTCTCCATATGAGAGGCGACTTTAATCTGCTGATTTATTAATTATACAATATATAATTATATAACTTAATATAGAGCAATATTTCCTCAGTGTACTCATCACTTTTCTTGACTGTTTCCACAGAGTATCAATGTCTACGGAAGCGCTGCTAACGGTTATGTCCAACATCACCAACACCACCGGCCCCCAGATGCCCGGTGAGGGGATCCGTATCCTGCAGATGATCCTGACCGTGCTCATCTTCACCGTGGGCATCTCTCTGAACGCTCTGGTGGTGTGGGCGCTGGGCGTCCGCGTTTGGTGCCGCCGCAGAAGCTCAATGGGTGAGACTCAGAGCGCAGACAGCTTCAGGATCTACGTGGTCAACCTTGCGCTTGCAGACTTGGTGCTACTACTGCGTACGCCGCTAATGCTTGCGTACTTGGCAAACAACTTCTCGTGGACCCTCGGGGAAGCCGTGTGCAGGCTGATTATTTATTTACGTTGTCTGGGATTGTACGCAAGCGCTTTTCTACTGTGTGCGGTAGCAGTGGAGAGATGTTTGTGTCTACTTAGACCTGTTTGGGCACGATTGAAGCGCCCTCGTTGGGTTGTACCGCTCGCTTGTGTTGCAATCTGGGTGCTAGCTGCAGCATTCGCATCTCCATATATCAAGTCGGCTATTATCGTTGACCTGAACAACCATAAAGCATGTATTGAATACAATAAGGAGGCAGGACAGGCTTTGATAGTGGTGGAAACGGTGTTCGGTTTCCTGCTGCCGCTGGTGATCTTTATGTCCTGTAATATTGCTGTGATCTTCTGCGCAAAAAAGGCTGAAAGTTCAATGTCGTCACCGACGTCTTCATCCGCATCGGCGTACACATCGCAGAGATTGACCCGACTTTACAGAGTTTTGTTTCTCACCATGCTGCTGTTTTTGACCTGCTGGGTGCCGTATTTTGTGTGCCGCTTTTTAAGGGCTCTTGCGCAAGAACGCGGATGGACGACGCTCAAAGAACAAGCCATAGGCGGCGCTTACGTGTCGCTGTTCCTGGTCTACTTTAAAAGCGCAGTCAATCCCATCCTCTACGTGTTTGCAGCTCGCGGACTCGGACGTACAGTCCGGGCGTCACTTCTATCAACCATCGAGAGAGTCTTCAACGAGGAGTTATCAGAGTCTTTACGAAGAAAATCCCTACGAAGGAGAGACTCTCAGTTTTAGAGGAGCATCAAGAGGCGAATTTCAATTACAAACAACTGTGGAACAATATTTTGGACAAACCAACCACAAACAATGAGACAAGCTGACTGCAGGAGTTAAACATATAAACATCTCCACTAGAGATGACTGACTGCTTGCATTTTTTCTATAATCATTCAATGAACACAAGAGCATTTCAGAAACTCATCTGGCATTGTTGTTTTTTCAATAATGGAACTGATTGTAAGGTATTATTATGTAGCATTTATTTGCATTATGGAGGGAAAAAAACTAAACAAAACAAAACAAAAAAAAACTGCGCTTTCCCTCCTTTGACTGAAGGCTTCGCTGCTATTGTGAGACTTAAAGCAAGCTAATAATTAATGTTTTTATATTTATATATACACACATACATAGACTCATGCATATTTAGAAAACTTTTATAATAGCGCATATTTCTACTGCATGAATATAGGATTATAATCTGCATATATATATATATATATATATATATATATATATATAAGGGCTGCACAATATATTGTTTTAACATCATAATGGGCAAGTATGTAATAGTCGGATCGCTGGGATCTGCAAAGCAGTTATAATTCCAACGGACCAAACATTACAGTTGACAAAAGTGTTTCAAATTTTAACCTTTGGGTGAAAGTTTATTATTTGCATGAGTTTTCAAGAGAATTTGAAGCAAACGTGAGCCATTTGGGTACAATAAATTAAACGTTTCGGTAACTCTTTATAATAACTACACACTATTAATCATTCATTAAGCATTACCATCTAGTGAATTCATGATTTGTAAAGCATTAACTCCACATTAGTAAGCAGGTTATAACTGCAGCTACAAATGCTGTATTCTTAACTTATAAGCACTTTTATAATGTGCTTAATGTTTGTGTTTTCATACTTTGTCAATGATTTATTATTCAATACTAAAGTAAATATTGCATTATTTACAAACTATTTGTATTTAAGAGTAGTTGGTGGCTTTTAAAGAGTATTCAGAATGAGTTATAAAATGATTAATAAACTATTAAAATCAATGTTTATATATCTTAATATTCAAGCATATAGTAATAGATACTATATATGTTAATGAATGCTTTATTAACTCAACTTCATCCAGTTTTGTGATCTTAAAGTGAGGACTATTCATGCTTTATAAATCCCTAATAAACGACAATTAAAGACTCCGTATCAAATGAACAATAATCTTTGCAATCTTATCTAAAAGTAAAATTACTGTAAAGTTTTAACATCGCTGAATAACAGGAGTGCCTAAATACGACATAAAATTGGAAAAAAACAACAACAATATAATAATTTAACAAGATGCCATGCTTAACCTGTACAGTAATTTTTTTAAGATTTCAAAGAATTATTTTTCATTTGAAGTACAGTTTCATTTGTGTATCTTTAAACAAATAGGAATAAATAATGTTTATTTTGTCCTGTTCAGAATATAACTGAGCTTTTAATTATCATTTATAAGGGATTTATAAACCATGAATAGTCCTCACTTTAGATTAGGTCACAAAACTGGATTTAGTTGAGTTGATAAAGCATTAAACAACATACAAATTAATTTTAGTATATGCCTGAATACAAGATGTATAAATGTTAATTTTAATAGTTTATTATTAATTACTAACTCATTCTTAATGATCTTAAAAACAAACAACTATTCTTAAATAAATGGTTTGTAAATAATGTGATACTTAATTTAGTAATAAAAAATAGATCATTAACCCAGTATGAAAGTACAATTATTAAGGACATTATAAATGTGATTATGAGTTAAGATTGCAGCATATTTTGTAGCTGCAGTTATAAACTACTTACTAACGGTTATTAACGTAGAGTTAATGCTTTACAGATAATGAATTCACTATTTGCTAATGCTTAATACATGCTTCATATTGTGTAGCTATTATAAAGTGCTACCAACGTTTCTAGCTTAAAGATTAATTGAACATTATGTAATTATTTACTTAATTAAAATGATAGTGTTTTTATTATTATTATTATTATTATTATACAGTGATTACTTAATTTCTGCATCTGAAAACTGTTTGACTACCCAGAAAATGATATATTATTCTTTATTTGCATTGTCTGTTGTTTTTAACTTTGCCTCTTATTTTTATATGAGACTTTATGCAGATACACTCCCCTACAAAATCATCCCAATCGATCTAAAATTATGAAATCTTTGCAAGCTATTCAAGTCATCTGCTGAAATTGCATTTATATTACAATATATTGCATTGAATAAAAATATTGCAATTTTAGTTTTCTCCAATACGTGCAGCCCTAATATAATATAATTTAACATAATATAATAAAATATTCTACAATAAATATTTATATAATATAATATATTAAAATATAATAAAAGTTTATATAAATTTTTTTTAATATAATATAATAAAATATAATATAATAAAATTTTATATAATATAATATATTATAATATAATATATAGAACATAAAACCTTCACACACACACGTATGCAGTTTATAATCTCATATCCATGCATTACAAATATGCCCTATACTAAAAACATTCTAATTATCCAAATGATTTGCAAAACAGCTAAAACAAGCCACTCATCTGATACAAACCCAACATGAGTAAAACGTTTAACATATATAATCTGACAGAGCAATGAGATTAAGACTGATCTCAAACAGCTGCATTAACGCTTGCCATGACTGTAACCTCTTTTCTATAATAAATGAGCAGATATTGTGTGCATCAGCCGTGTCTGTGATGTTCAGTCCAGGGTTTAGTCATTGTGAGCTGCTTTTTCTGCATGATCCACCTGTTTATGTGCGAGCTCCAGAAACACCCTCACGTCCTCCAGAACTGGAGTCGGATGTAGAGCCTTCACCACTGCTGGAGGATTGGGGACGGTCTGCATCAGCTGCTCCTGAAAGGCCAACCACACTATAGTTTAGCAGATATAGGGGTGTCACTGCAGTCCCAGAAAAAGCTTTGAGTTACAATTGACTTTATATGTGAGTGTATTAATTAAGAGTGGTAATCCCAGAATACAGACGCTATTCTCTATGTACAAGTATTTTATATAGAGGTCTCAGCACGCCGACAGTTTTGCCTTACAGCAAGAAGGTCGCTGGTTCAAGTCCCAGCTGGGCCAGTTGGCATTTCTGTGTGTGTTTGCATGTTCTCCCCTAGGTAGTACTTAATTAATTGAATCAGGTATTAAACCACAGATAATCTATAAAACTTTTTATGTTCTCTAGAATTGTAACGAGTGCTTATTTGAGTTACTGTTGCCTTTCTATCAGCTGGAACCAGTCTGGCCATTCTCCTCTAACCTTTGGCCTCATCAACAAGTCATTTGCGCCCACAGAACTGCCGCTCACTGGATATTTCCTCTTTGTCGGAGCATTCTCTGTAAACCCTAGAGATGGTTGTGCGTGAAAATCCCAGTAGATCAGCAGTTTCTGAAATACTCAGAGCAGCCCGTCTGGCAGCAACAACCATGCCACGTTCAAAGTCTCTTAAATCCCCTTTCTTCCCCATTCTGATGCTCGCTCTGAACTGCAGCAGTTTTGACCATGTCTACATGCCTAAATGCAGTGAGCTGCTGCCATGTGACCGGCTGAGTAGACATTTGCGTTAAGCTGTTAAACAGGTATACCTAATAAAGTGGCCGGTGGGTGTATATATACGCATCATATTATCATATTTGTAACTCCAATAATTGGAAAGAAATAGATGGAAGTGGCCATTTTTTGCAATATTTGTCAATAAATGACATGGAGAGATGCAAATATGAGCTGCATGTCATGTATGTAATTTGCATATTTTTCATGCTTCAGATTTCTACATGAGAATCATTTGCGAAATAATTTCTAAGATTATTCAGGTGTTGAAACTGCATTTCCTGAGAAGTTTGAAACAAGTCTGTCAGAGTAACTCTCCTGTTCCAGATAAGCTGAAGGCAAGATTCTCAAGATGTCTTTAGTTCTCTATAAAGAGTAAATATTTCCGTGACGATGAGGTGTTAAAACCACCGTTGGTCAGAACAAAATAAAATGCTGTTGTCACCACTGTGAAAGCTGAGAATGAGGTCATGTTTGGCTGATTTATTAACCACACATTAAACAACAAAGAGGCGACGCAGTTGTGCAGTAGGTTTTGCTGTCGCCTCACAGCAGGAAGGTCGCTGGTTCGAGCCTCAGCTGTTTCTGTGTGGAGTTTGCATGTTCTCACTGCATGGGTTTCCTCCGGGTGCTCCGGCTTCCCCCACAGTCCAAAGACATGTGGTACAGGTGAATTGGGTAGCTTGTCCGGATTGGGTAGCTTGTCCATGAGTGTGAATGAGTGTGTATGGTTGTTTCCCAGAGATGGGATGCAGCTCGAAGGACATCCACTACGTAAAAACTTGCTGGATAAGTTGGCGGTTCATTCCGCTGTGGCGACCCCAGATTAATAAAGGGACTAAACCGAAAAGAAAATGAATTAATTAAAACAACGAAGATGTGTTTCAAATAAATAGTCAGTGGCATTTTACTGACTAACAGAGATGCTGTACCTTAAAAGACTTCGAGTGGTGAAGGTGAAATTTCCAGAGTTGATTAAATCAATACTGATATTACTCACTCATCGTAAGCAGATGAATAAAACAACACAGTTGCTCAGTATAGTATCTCTCAGTTCACTCAAAATAAAGAGCAACAGCCTATTTTTGGTATTAATAAGAATTTCAGTATTGAGGCAGCATTTGCATTGCCGACACATTTTGCTTGCAAATTATTATAGATATTCACATTAGATGTCACCTACCCTATTGTTGTCTATCAGAAGGAATCTGTCAATAGAGCCGGCGTTTTAGTACAGGGTAGCGCTCCTTTAAAATTAATGTGGAACCAAGGTGCAGTGGAGGACTGTGGCCATCCAGAGCCCGAGATATACACACATATACACATATATCTATGACAGGAAGTTTTCCCGGTGGTCAGTTTGCAAATATTGTTTTAAATTATGAAAATGATAATTTTACATCATATTTCAACATCGATGGATGAGTTAGCGCATGGGCAGTACATCTACATTTAGTCATTGTAAGACTTTTATCCAAAGCGACTTACAAATGACGACAAGGAAGCAATTTACACAACTATAAGAGCAACAGTGAATAAGTGCTGTAGGCAGGTTTCAGGTGTGTAAAGTGTAAAAAGCAAAACATTAGTATTTTTTATTTATTTAATTTTTCTGTAGTACAGTTAGCGGTGAAGCGAGAGAGGCAATTGCAGATTAGGAAGTGAAGTGGAGACTAAATAGTTGAGTTTTCAGTCGTTTCTTGAAGACAGCGAGTGACTCTGCCGTTCTGATGCAGTTAGGGAGTTCATTCCACCAACTGGGCAGATTGAATGTGAGAGTTCGGGAAAGTGATTTCTTCCCTCTTTGGGATGGAACCATGAGGCGACGTTCATTCACAGAACACAAGTTTCTGGAGGCACATACATCTGCAGAAGTGAGAGCAGATAAGAAGGAGCAAAGCCAGAAGTCTCTTTGTAGGCAAACATCAGAGCTTTGAATTTGATGCGAGCAGCAACTGGCAGCCAGTGCAAACGGATGAGCAGCGGAGTGATATGTGCTCTTTTAGGTTCATCAAAGACCACTCGTGCTGCTGCGTTCTGAAGCAGATGAAGAGGTTTGATAGAGTTAGCTGAAGCCCGGCTAGTAGATAGTGAGGGAGACAAAGAGTGTGTGTTTGTGTGCAGGGAGATGCATTATCTTTCCTCCCTGTTAAATTTGATCTAATCCATGTCCTTAAACACCTCCTTCTCCTGCTTTCACTTCTCATTCTAACAGAGGGAGTGATTCGTTTGTGAATGAATCTCTGTAATGAGCGATTCGTTCACTTAGCAGATACAAATTCTGGCAGCACAGCGTCTTGTTATCATATTTCTTTTTTTATTGTTTGCTTATTTTATTTAACATAAGCCGAGTGTTTAGTGTGAGTTATTGCAGCTTTGCCTGATGGTCAGTGCAGTAAAGAGACTGTATTAAAATATAGCCATGTACCTGTAGCGTCGGCTCATCGGCTGAGCGAGACTGTAATGCTGGCAGATGCAGGACTGTTTCTTCTGACAGTTGAAGAAACTGTAACAGAATCAGAATCAAACATTATTATTACACAACAGACAGAAGCTGAGATTAGTTGAGCATCATTATTAACTAGATTATTAAAGTTCGTCGAGACAAACTTTGAGGCTGGATTGAGAAAGCCTGGTTGGTAATAGTTTATTTTGTTTAAAACAGTTTGAAAAAGTACAGACAGACAGACAGACGGACGGACGGACGGACAGACAGACAGATAGATAGATAGATTAAAATAGTTTTAATAGATAGATTCAATGTTAAGTCAGGGACAGTCACTTGCAATGGAAGTCTATGGGACAGTTGCTAGGGTACAGTATCTGGTTGTTAGGATGCGGCTAGAAAGTTAAAAGGCCATCAGCGATTGGCTGCCTACTAGTGTTGAATGAGCTCAGCCATTAGTCTGTAGGACCTTCTGGTGCAGAGTTATGAGCTCACAAAGTTTGATCCAATGGTAAGTTGATGACAGTCTTTTGAATGGAAGTCTATGGGACAGTTTCTAGGGTCCCAAAAGTGGTTGCTTGGGCGTGGTCAGAAAGTTAAAAGCTCATCACTTATTAGCAGTTAGGTAGTCTGAGTTAAATGAGCCCAGCTAGAAGTTTGTGTGATAGTCTGACGCAGAGTTATGAGGTCACAAAGTTTGGTCCAATGTTAAGTCAATGGGGTTTTTTCGACAGTCCCGCGATGTTTTTCGGAAAACCAAAAGTCGGATCAATCGGAAAAGATATAGCACACCGAGTCAGACCCGTTTGGAGGTGTGGTGTGAGTTTGGTGGTCATAGCTCAAAAGCTCTAGGAGGAGATAGAGTTTGATTTTTAGCCCCAAAAGAAAAATAGGATTTCAGTAGTCTGTCTTGCTTTCACAAGCCAGCCTAATAATGAACTTAATTTAAGTAGCACCTTTAAAAGCAGCATCTAAATATCATTTACAAATACATGGTATAAACATATAGAGGTAAACGATACATACAAGGATGCATGCATAGTTTAATAAAATAATAAAATATATAAAAATTTTGAAAATAAATTTAAAAATAACAAAAACATTTATTTTTTTATATAATTTAGTTAACGTTAGTTAGTGCATTTACTAACATGAATAAACAATGAGCAATACTACATTACTGCATTTATCCTACGCTTTGCTTAACGATTGTATTTTCATTAACAAAGATGAATAAACACTGAACAACAGGTATTGTTCATTGTTTATGTTAAGAAATACCTTAAATAACAGGAACTTTGAGTCCCGTATTGTAGTGATACAAAAAAAACACACATAAAAACTACCTTAATCTTTTAAATACATAAATAAATCACTGTATGATACTTTAAGACAGCACGGAGGCTCAGTGTTTAGCACTGCACCTCACAGCAAGAAGGTGGCTGGTTCGAATTCCGGCCAGGGCAGCTGTTGTTTCTGTGTGGAGTTTGCATGTTCCCCCCGTGTTGGCGTGGGTTTCCTCTGGGTGCTCCGGTTTCCCCCACATAGGGGAACTATAGTGGAATTAATTAACTAAATTGGCCGTAGTGTATGAGTGCGTGTGTGTGAGTGAATGTGTATGGGTGTTTCCCAGTACTGGGTTGCAGCTGGAAGGGCATCCACTGTGTAAAACATATGCTTGAATAGTTGGCGGTTCATTTCACTGTGGCGACCCCGATGAATAAAGGGACTAAGTCTGAAAAAAAAAAAAGATGCTTAACCTCCTGTGCTTTTTCCTCTTCCTCCTCTATTCTGCTGCTCATTATCCTGCATTTCTCCTGCAGCCTCTCCATCTTCACCTCCATCTCCTCAAGAGTGCTGACAATCGAGCTCATGTTCTCCTAAACGAGTCCAAAACACACAACAGATTAATGAGGGGTTAGTTATGAACACTTATACCACAGGCCTGCTGAATGCTTGATTCTAATCTGATGGTCACTCTCAGCGTGATGCTATCATGTCAATATGGAGCAAAATCTCTGAGATATATTTCCAGTAGCTTGCTGAATCTCTAACACCAATGATTAAGGCAGTTCTGAAGGGGGTCCGATCCGGCACTAGTAAGGTGTACCTAATAAAGTGGCCGGTGAGTGTATATACTATGCTTATATATTACTACAATTTGTGAGGGCTGTCAAATTTAGGTAAAGATCATCAAAAATGTTGGCAACTTTATAAAAAGAGATAAAAAAATAATGCACATCTGAGGAGAAACACTACCTCAAGTGTGAGATATTTTCCAATTATTCATCAGCCTGTCATCAGGTGTTTCTTATGCAATCATCCTGAGTCATTGATCACCTCTAGAGCCTGGAGCGTCTTCTTTCCATGTTCAGACTTCTTACTCTCTGTGCTGAACTGACGCGACGCACTCATCATGTCTCCACGTTTCCTCGGAGGAACAGAAAGCTGCGCACACTTCGCCAGAAACCTGGGAAAACGTGAAAAAGCCGAGATGTACAGCACTGCGCAAAAATCTTAGGCCACTAGTATTTTCACCCACAAATTTTTTTTAAAGTGGGTTATTTCTAAATTTCTCTGTAGCATGTCAGTTTGAAATATCTATTCACAATGTTTTTGTCATTAATTGTAATTATAGAGTGAGATTCTGATTCGAGTCAGTGTGTCAATGTTGAGTTTTGGATAGTTGATCAGACACACAATTCAGAACACATGAGGTTTGTGTAGTCGCTGCAGAATTGAACCATAATATAGTAAATAGTTTATATCTGTGTTTTTCCACCATTTCAATTTTAGACGTTTAAAGCATTTTGACACAAAGCACCGTTCGTTATTAGAGGTGCAGTAGGTGATGGTCTTCAGAAGCATGTGCTGTTGTGCTGGTTGAAAGTCTCTTCACAGTCTAATAGTAATGATTAAAGTAAATGATCTAAATGTGTTTATTTGTATTTTTATATTTTGGATAAGGCATAAAAATAAAAAATGTTCATCCAATTAAATAAATCGGGCCGACATCTTTCATAATTGCGATAAGTAGCCCAAACTGTCCGTCAGCAAATGCAGATTTGAACAACTGCGCAGCCGTTTGTACGCAGCTCCGCCGACCGCTGTTTGTGCATAGACATGCTGCACGTTCACGAGAGAGAGAGAGAGAGAGAGCGCACGATCGCAACATGCTGAATCAAAACTTTTCAAAAACCTGAATCAATATTGGAGTTACCCTTGCACGCTGGAGAAAGGATGACACCATGGCTGAAGGATCTCTCTTAGACAGGTCATGTTCTGTTTTTAAACTGTTTTAGCTTCACGCAAAGCTGATGTAAAGTTAGATGTTGTTGATACAAATGGGTTATATCTTCACAGAGGTGTTGTTCAGCCACTAAAATCTTCCGGTGAAAGATTGATGAGACTATTTTCAGTTTCATAAGGGCCTTTTACAGCATCGATAATGTAGATTTTCATTAGTTTAACAACAAAACACAAGTGAATAGCGCTATTCCACTTAGTCTCTTCATGTATTGTTTACCATGCAACTCTTAATATTCACTCTGAAATAGCATGTCGGTTTGGCTTAATTCCTGCATGTCGCCGGACAGTCGCTATTAACACATGAGAGAGGGCTCTTTTGCTGTCATCATTAAGGTGCGCGTGCTCCTGTCTCAGGAGGTGTGGCTCTGGACGGCAGGGGAGGGACTGTGATTCAGAGATTTATGCTTAGCTTGTGGAAGATTCAATTCAATTCAGCTTTATTTGTATAGCGCTTTTACAATGTAGATTGTGTCAAAGCAGCTTCACATAAAGATCATCTACTGCACCTTTAATGTAGTTTTGTGAACGATTTATGCAACATTTTTTAGTTTCTGTAACTCAACATTGTTGAGACTCCCCAAAAAAACCTTCTTAATCAATCTAAATTAATGTTGTTTTTTTATTTCCCTAATAAAATCATCTGGTGTGCTCATATCACAAAATATATCAAAGAAAAACAAAATAAGGCACCGTCTGACTTCTCCAATATCGTGCAGCTCTATTAAAAACACATGCAAACGATAAACCTTCACTCTATAATAGTGACTCTACAAATCACACATGTTCTGTGGCTCTGATCAACTATTATTCAGACTCAGCATTGCATTTCTTGCAATGTGAATATTGCAGACACTGCCATATCGATGCTGAAACCACATATTGTGCAGCCCTAATATCTACATCATTGTCCTGTCACTGTGATTCTGTGGAAGCTTCTGTCTCATGAAAAATACCTTGCAAGTGAAAACAAACCTGGCAATAAAGCTCCTTCTTTCCTTCTAATAACGCAATGCATAATCACTGCCCATTAAAATGCAATTATGAAATACGTTGCATGCTTTATTCTGTATGTAAAGACACGCTATTTCACAGAAATTGAACTGAAGCTATGAATAAAGCATCATTATTTGTGGTATTTGCCTGTGATTTCATGTTAAACATTAGTATTTTCTACAAGTGGTTGTAATTCACTGAAAACTGCAAACAGCTGTCAATTAAGGCAGAATGATCATTTGTGATTTGAGTACTGCATGATGATCATTGATGCATAATTACAATGTAACGTACTTAGTTTGTAACAATTGTAGTAGGTTTTTTAGCTGTTTTTGTATTTGTTTCTGTATTTTCTTTGTTGCATTCATTGTTATTATTGTCATTTATTTATTTGTATATTGTGCATTTGTTTCATAACAATGTTGTTTTACGGTGCTGCTCTAAAAGGCTTTGAATTGCACCTCAGAGACATGTAAAATTGTTGTTTTTTTATTGAATTGAATATTTTGTGTAGCAAACAGTGCTCCATCTGAACACAGATTCACATCTCATTATAGAGACAGCTTCATAAAATATGGATAAAGGATGTTAAGAAAAAAAAACAGTCACTGACTTACACTGTATTTTTTGTTTCTACCATGAATGTCAATGCCTGAACATTCTTCAGAATATTTCCTTTGTGTTCAACAGAAGAAAGACACTCATAAACGTTTACCACCACTCAAATTAAGGCAAATTTCATTTCTGATTTGGAGTGTTCTGGCATTTTAAATTGAAAGTGTGGTTATGTTTGGCAAAACAAAGCTCTTACCGGTCTTTAATGATGTTGAGATGTTTCTGTGATTCCTCTTTCTCTTTGGTTTTCAGTGTGAGCACAGATCTGACACACAGGCAAGAAACACAACAATGTTAGTCGATATAGAAGAAAGAAGTCACTAATTGGTCTAATTTCACTCACAATTAATGCAAAATCATTGATTTAGATTTAGGAAATGTTCACAGTATGTCTGACAATATTTTGTCTTCTGGAGAAAGTCTGATTTGTTTTATTTCGGCTAGAATAAAAGCAGTTATTAATTTTTAAACACCCTTTTAAGGTCAATATTATTACCCCCTTTAAGCCCTTTTTTTTAATTATCTACAAAACAAACCATCGTTATACAATAACTTGCATAATTACCCTAACCTGCCTAATTACCCTAATTACCCTAGTGAAGCCTTTAAATGTCACTTTAAGCTGTATAGAAGTGTCTTGAAGTCTAATATTATGTACTGTCATCATGGCAAAGAGAAAATAAATCAGTTATTAGAGATGAGTTATTAACACTTTCACACACACACACACACTCATACACAACGGACAATTTAGTTATCAGTTCCCCTATAGCGCATGTGTTTGGACTGTGGCACCCGGTAGAAACCCACACCAACATGGGGAGAACATGCAAACTCCACACAGAAATGCTAACCGAGACTCGAACCAGCGATCTTCTTACTTTGAGGCCACAGTGCCACCGATGGCCAATCAAGGTATGAAAAATATCCCAATAATTAAAGAGGACAGAACTCACAGAATGGACATATCGAACATGTTCCTCAGGGCCAGTATGGAGGACTTGGTCAGCGGCTTCCAGTTTCTCTGATTTTTACTCTTTCCAACCATCGCTGAAGGAAATCAGGAGAGCAGGAGACAAAATAATGTTAATAATATATTAGACCATATATTAAGGTAAAATAATGTTAATATTAAGGTAAAATTTAAAGAGCTGGTCCAGAAAGTAATTTTTATAAGATACAAAGCAACGTGTGCTCATGCTTCACTTCATATTATCATATCAATATCATATTCCTGATCATTTTGATGCATCTTAAAATGTAAAAAGAAATTATTCAGCAAAAACAGGCCAATTGTGTCATAATATATTCATAAATAAAGATCGGTGACATTATGTACATTTCCTAATGTAAATTTTCATTCAAACACAGACCTGGTTAAAATGATTTAAGACCTACAACACAATATTTCAATAAATTTAAGACATTTTTTTTTTAATTAAGACATTTTTAGACTTTCAAAGTGGCTACAGATAAAAATCTAATGTTCATGTTTATGTAATGCTAGCAAAACGTTACATTTGGAGCAAGAAAATTAATTATTTATCCATATTTTTACCCATTTTTCATTTAAACAGACCTGTTTAAAATGATTCAAGACTTACAACACAATACTTCAGTGTATTTAGACTTTCGAATATGCCACAGATAAATAGCTTGTGTTCATGTTTATGTCAAGCTAAGCTTTACATTTGGAGCAAGAAAACAAATGATTCAATCAATATTTTTACTCATATTAGGTCAATTTTAGTTAAATTTACTTCATTTTAACAGCTCTAAAGAGCTGGTCCAGCATGTAATTTTAAGGCTTGGTTGTGTTTGTAAGATGCAAAGCAATGCATGCTCATGCTTCACTTGAAGGAAATCAGGTTATTTTTTCATATATCTTACTTTAATTATTTAAAATCAAGCAAGCTTACGAGCTGTGTGCGCGCGTGCGAGTCTGTGTTGCTTGCCATGTGCGTGCGCTAAGCGCGAGCCTACGCTGAGTGCGTGTGCACAGCCGAAAACAGTGAAGGCTTTTATAGTTGACGTGCTCGCCAGAAACACGAGCATTTCTCATGTTAAATTGCCAACTGTGCAGACAAATATGGCAAAATAGAAAAGGTTGGTCAGTTAAATTATGCTACTGTAAGTAATGTTTATTCAGCAATAATTCTCCAGTACAGATAGCAGACCCCTTAACGTCAGAGCTTATCCATACTTCAGTCTTTTATAATGTAGCACCGATACCAATAAGTACCGAGTTTTGGTACTAATCTCTAATCCTTGCAACAACATACCATTAACGCTAGACACTGTGCATGTCACAATCAATTTTAACAAATTAAAAACACTTACAGGTTGTGGCTCACAATGCACAGCTTCTGCTTGTTGGAGCTGCTCCTTTAAGGAGATTTAACCGAATCCAGCACTGAACTGGGAGAGATTCTGGAGGCTGACCTTTGTCAAATGCTAGCTATATATTTTATAATTCCCTGGAACTTAATTAAAATTAAACTGCAAGCACTTCTCTCTTTGTGTCGAGTCATTTGGAAGCTCAAATACAGAAACAGAAGAAGCTCTGTGGAAATAGCAGCGTTTCGACTGCATTTTAGCTTTCTCTGCTTTAACATTAGTGTCACTGGCCACGCCCCTTAGCTGCGCAGTGTGTGTGCGCGAGCGTGGTAAAAGACCTTTGTGATCTCACTGGCCCGGATGTTTTTTTTTTATGTCCCCAAAGTTTGTTTATTGTATGCTTTTTACTTAGCTAACTCTGTAAAAGCCAAGGTCTCGCTTTTCATTGACCTTTGAGCATTTTACATTCAGAGATGCTGTTTATGTTCACGAAGCTACATTACACATCAACTAAAGTTTACAATGAGATATCTTAGTGGACCACCCCTTTAAAAGGTGATTTTCTCAATATTTAGATGTTTCTGCAAAGTCAAACTCCAGATAATGTCAACAATGTTACTATCCTGACAAACCATACATCAATGAAGAAGATAATAAGCTCATTTACTATTTGATTTGCTTCAAATGACGGCAGATATATGCAATGAAAAAGGGAAAAAATTAAAAAGAGTCAAAATTATACATTTTTCTTTCATGCCAGAAATCATTGGCATATTAAATAAAGATCGTTGACATTTTATAAATTTGCTAATGTAAATTTTCATTCAAACACAGACCTGTTTTAAATGATTTAAGACCTACAACACAATATTTCAGTATAATATTATATAATATTTCAATATAAAGGCAATAAATAGAACTTGTTTGTCACTATAAAAGTAAAATTACTGAGCCTACACACAGGAGTCGGAGAAAAACGCTAATTTTAGAAGAAAATATCAAATGGCTTTTAGAGGTATTTGCATCTGAACTCTTTGAAGCAAACTATTCGCCTTTATTTGTACCCATTTTAGGTCAATGTTAGTTCAAATAACTTAATTTAAGCAGCTTTAAAGGTGATTTTCTCAATATTTAATTTTTTTTTTGCAATGTCAGATTCCAGATAAAGTATACAGATTTACTATCCTGGCAAAACATACATCAATGATGAAGAAAAAGCTTACTTACTCTTTGATCTGGTTTAAATGATGGCATTTATATGCAAGCAAACAGATTTTTGGCAAGATATTCGGTGACTAACATGTAAAAACAACCCATGTGTTCATAACAAGAGTGTGTTTGGTCTGTTTGTTGTCTTTTAAACTTTGTAGATCACCATCTTCATGAAACAAGCTTCTTCTATTTATCACTGATCAAATAAATAGGATGTGTCACTAAATGACTACGTGCATTTTCAACAAAAAGAGGAAACATGGTCAAATGTAGCCCTCTGATTTGAAATGCTTTTTTTTGTAACAGGAAAACCAGCAAGTTGGCAAATGCATTTCAGAAAAGCTTACGCAACAAGTCTGCCGAAGCATTCAAGTACAAACATCTCCAACCATTTCTCAACTCACCGCTGCTCTTCTGAGACAGATGAGGATGTGGGCCTTCAGCACGGCTGATGGACTTCTGAAAGAAAAGTAATTGCACAAGATTATAATGCAGATTTCATTAATATATAACGTCAAACTCAAGTAAAAGAGCTGAATGCAAGACTTAAAGTTCACACAGGCCATTGGAAAACTTTGTGACACTTACATGCATGATAATTACCGCAACGTTCCTTATGTGTGTTTTCTTTATTACTTGTTATTGTTTCTCTCACTCAATGAGTCTCAAATGTGAAGGGGGAGGGATGTAATAATAACAACATCAAATAAATCAATAAATAATAATACATTCCATTACATACACATTCAATTGATCATAAAAATGATTTTCTAGAACAGCAATCTCTCCTTTTTACAGACACACAATCAAAAGTGTACATAAAGTGTATTTTAAATAAATAAATATGTGTATAAAAATTATGCTTTATGACATATAGTGCAGACTATGCGTTGGAAAGACTTTTTAAGAGCTTTTTTAAGACTGTTATGAATTAAATTTCAGACTTAGACAGGGATAAATCCTAAGGGTTTTTTTTTTCTAACAGGCCAGTGGAAATAATTTTTACCCGCCCCTAGGAGACTTTTACTTTTAAAAAATCTGATTTACTTATTTCTGAAATAATCAATAATATCCAGCTGCAGACCCGCAGAACCACACACGTTTTAGGCACACACAATCTAGGACACACAATCTAGGCAAACCATATATGGTTATGACTGATGTTAAAGTTATAACGCCTTTTTGGACATCGTCATTGATATATTTTGATATATTTGATTAATAAATATTGTACACAATAAACAATAGTGTTTACTTTACTTTATTTCACAAATATTGCGATTGAGACGGCCGAATGGGGAGGATTGTTTCCGATCGCCATTCAATATAATAGAGTGAACAGTTTTTAATCAGTCATTATAGCTGATCAGTCATTATTATCTGACAATAATATGGCAGATACTCGTTTGCTGGCTTTGCTGAATGATCTCATTTGGGCAGGTTTAATTTATATAATGGATTAATTTATGATGAAGGAAATAATAGCAAGTTAAGATAGGCAATAATACATTATATGTCATAAAAATATTTTTATATGTAACAAATGTATAACACTATATTAATATTTTACTCAAGCGGTGTTTATTAGCTTAATTTTCCAATAACCTTTTAATTAATGATTTCCCACATTTAATACTCTTAATAAAACTATTAATAAAATATTAACTATTAATAAAAAAAATCATAAGTGTATACACACACACACACATATATATATATATATATATATATATATATAACAGCTTTAACAGTGACAGTTTAGTAAAAGATAGTAGTTTATATATAAACTTATAATTATAATCAGTTAAGATAATCAGTTTATAACTATATTGTTTAAATGGTTAACTATAGTAGGCTAATTTATTTTAAAGTGACATTATTGTTTGCTTTTTATATTTTACAACAACGTGATTGTAACGAAGTATGATAATATTAAGAGCTTGAATTAGTTAATTACACTTAATCCATCAATTAGACGGTCTATTATGTTATCTTTGTGTATATGGACACATGAATAAAGTCATAAGTGTCTTTAACCAATTATTTTTATTGCCATAATTTAAGTTCAGAAACTGCAGAGACTTTAAAATGATCGTTACGATATAATAATAAAATTGACTGAAATGGGAAACCATATTTGTGAAATTCAATAGGTAGCGATAATGCTAAAGAGTTAGTTACCATTTATGGTTTGCCTAGATTGTGTGTCCTAGATTGTGTGTGCCTCAAACGTGTGTGGTTCTGCGGGCCTGCAGCTAGATATATCTCGAAATAATAGCTCAAACCAAGCAAACTCTACTTGTGTTCATAGACTTTTTCCTGCAAGTTTAAAACTATAATAAACTAAACGTAACAGTCAGTCCAGGTATATATAGATACAGGCTATCAATACATAGAGAACATTTAAACAAATCTTATTTTAAGGAAGATAATTGAACAATAATGATAAACAGAGTTAATAAATAGAACTTGTCACTGGCTGTGATTGGATGGATGTTGTCCAAATTGGGTGCTTTACATGAGCATAGGAAAATTAAGACCTGTATAAAAGATTTAAGACCCAAAACACAGTTTGTTCAGTGAATTTAAGACTTTCTAAGACCTCGCGGACACCCTGTAAATAACTCATGTTTTACATTTATGTAATGCCAGGATCAAGACAAAAAAAGTGTTTCAAATAGCAGAAAGAAAATGATTTATTCAGTCTTTGTGTTTCCCTCTTTTAGACTATGGGGATACTATTATATGCATGCCTTCCTTAAAGTGCTTTCTAAAACTACTAAGATTTTCTATCTGTCTGTCTGTCTATCTATCTATCTATCTATCTATCTATCTATATATCTATCTATCTATCTATCTATCTATCTATCTATCTATCTATCTATCTATCTATCTATCTATCTATCTATCTATCTATCTATCTATCTATCCATCCATCATCTATGCTTGTTCATGTATCCACCATTGTACTTCAACTGTACTCGTTACATAAACGCACTAAATCGCACTTCAGCGATGTTCATTTGAGAGCGCACAAGAAAATCTGTGCTTGAGCAGCTATTTGAGGTGGCATGCAAGACGTTTTGTGCACAAACAGTAGAAATCAGCGCAGAGGCATGCTTGTATTACATAAATGTGATCTTGACTTGTAATACTGCGCTCACAACATTTCTCCATTTGTATTTGAAATAACGCAATAGGTGGTTGGTAGATTTGTGTAAAAGGTCTGCCATCACAGCTGGAAAACATATATATATATATATAAATGCTTGTTCAAGTACCCACTATTGTTTGTTGTTCGATAACGCAGGCTAGTCAAGTTTGTCTTTTGCAGTTTGTTGTCTGCATTATGTCTAATACACTTCCCATAGGAGTTTGTAAGAGGGAAATAAATGCAGTAAAATAAAGTGTATTGTGTTCCTCTGTGTCTTACTTGGCGTGTTTTGTGTGCTTTTCTCTCCGCAGCTCCTCTGGGGCCCCGTGTGGAGGCCCTTCCAGACCCTCGCGCTGGCTTCATCTTTAAAACTGCGCACACACATACACACACACACAAACAAACAAACAATTAAGTGTGTTTATACATTTGATTAACATTGATATAAAAAATTATATATAAAAAAGGCTGATAGCCTCAGATTGAATTAGTCTAAAGTTAAAAAACCTATGTACCATTATTGATAATAAATTACATTTTAGTGAGAATACTGAAAGGCCAGGCCAAGGGAGACTTTATTGCCTACGGAAATGATCTAAGTTTAATATTGATAGGACTCTGATGGTTGCTTTCATAAGGCTTATGTAGAATAAATTTGAACCTTTTCACAGATTTGTTGGTTTGCTTCTTTAAAGGTAAAAAGGAAAAACTCACTGTGTGCGGTTTTAAACACCTACAGCAAAGAATTAGAGACGAAAGTGCCAGGATTATTCAATTTGTATGAAATTAAGGTGTTAAAGAAAGCAGATTAGAATACGTCTGTCAAATCTCATCCTCTTTTTGACTGATTTCAACCCCGTCCCTCAGGATCTCAGTATTCAGACTCTTTGACAATGCACAATACATTTAGTTTTTCATTTGTTACTTGCTGTTGACTTGCTGAATTTTAATAGGAAGAGGCGAGAGGAGTTTAGAACTATATATGTTGTGTGATCTTTGTGTGTGGTATAGCTGGTGTAAATATATTAATGTTATGCTGCAGAACAAAACACCCTAAAAAGGTAAATTAAAGTTACACTAACAGATCAGGCTGTATCATCATGAAGTAAAAACAAACCAATAACATCAATTAGAAACAGCACAGAATCACAAACAGGTCTCCTGACATTTTATCCCACCCATCAGATTATGCTACCAAGACTGCATTTAAATGGTTCTGATGTTGGGTTTTTTTGGATTAGGGCGATGTTACAGCTTCATATCACACATTTACATATTAAAAATATTAAAATTTACACTGGTAGCAAAATCTGACGGGAGCACACTGCGTCATCAACATGTGCTGCCTACTTTTTGAATGGGAGGTAAGACGGCTGGTTATCAGTTGGACACGATCGATAACATTGAATTAGTGGGCATTTTACCAAAAAGTACTGTTCAGTATCATAATGTTTGAATATAATAAACAATAAAAGATGAAAACGTTAATGTTGTAATATGTCTGCGGACTAAAACACAGCTAAACGCGTCTTCACAGGTTTGTTTATGATCTTGTCTCATGGCGTCGATCGCGTTCAGAGATGAAACAGCAGCTTTTTCTCACTTATACATTTAGACTTGCATGTATATAAGGATAAAACGAAGACTTGGTGAATGCTGTGCGCTTAAACCAAACTAACCTCAGTAATGAATGCAGTGTAAACTCAGCTCTTCCTCATCCGCCAGACCAGTGTCTCCTCCTCAATACTCCCGCCACAGGACTCAAAGCGGGAACTGCAGTGCGCATGCGCGTGTACTCGGGGGCAAGGTAAGCTATCGCTCAGGGCTCCAGGAAATATGAGGGCCCCCAAATAGAGGTATACTATATGATACCCAATAATTACATATAACAGTGTTTTCTATACAAATTGTTGACTTTACAGATAGAAAATGCTCAAACTAATTTTGAGAGGTATATGGGAATATAAAGGAAAACAACTTTTGCAAAAGATTCTTAAGGTTAGTTTACTAATGTCTCCTTTAATTATTTTATTTAATTTATATCCCAAGGAGATCAAGTAAAAAAAAAAAGACGAGATAATATTTATGAATATATGTCTGCAAACGAAACGACTTATTTAAGAAAAGTATATGTGCACCAAATATTCAATAGTATCTGGATGCAGCCTTTATGATGCAAGCTGAGACTGCATCACTCAGCGTTGCAATGTCAGACACAATGGAGCTAGTGACGTCACTGTGACAGGTAGGGTTAGGGGTGGAGTTAGGTGAGCCCATTAAAAAGCATTGGATGCAACCCAGATTGCACTGCACCAGGTCTGCAGCCAGACCCCTCTCCAAATATTTTTTAAATATATTTTTCAATAATTTTTAAAATAAATTTGGCTTAAAGAGATGGTAGTAAACATGTCAATGGGAAAGAATAACATATATTAAAAAATAAATAAATATATAAAAAAATAAATACATAATTTTTATACAGTTTGGGGAGCTTTTATGTTGTTTTAAAAGGTGGTAAAAATGTTTTACTAGATGATTAGTAAAAGACGGGATATTATACTGAGAAGCCCTTTGTTTTGTTTGTTTATTTGTTGGTTTATGTTAAATCTGACACATGGAAATGTGTATGTACATGTTAAAATATAACACAAAGGAATTGGGAAGAAAAACAACCAAAATAATACGAGTATTTAAAATAAACATGAAAAAAATGATACATTATTTTAATAAAAACTAAAAAACACAATAAAAATGACTAAAGTTTAAGTTAAAATTACATTACACTGTCATTTAACTTTCTTTTAATTAATATACTTGTGTATTTATCTTTATATGTATAATTTTGTATAAGATAGATAAAAAGGAGAAGGTAGTTGGATTTTTTATAGATTTAAAGAAGGTATTTGATACAATAAATCATAATATATTGGTAAATAAATTAAAGGTATGGTATTAGAGGAGTAGCCTTTGACTAGATAAGCAGTTATTTAAAAAAATAGTCAACAGTTGGTGAAAATCGGCAACCATAAATCATCATATCTAAATGTAAAGTGTGGCATACCACAAGGATCAGTTTTAGGTCCAATGTTGTTTATAATTTATATTAATGATGTGTGTAGAAAATTATGGAACAGTCTAGATCAGACTCTCAAACAATGTAATGTCAGCATCATAATCAGTTTAAAAAGTGGTACAGATATATATTATTAAAGGAATATAATGATGAGGGAGATTGAAAAAAGATAAAATGAGAAGGCTCTGATGAAACTTTAATTAATGGCTATTTAATCACTGTGTTTGTTTTGTTTTTCTTTGGGTCTGTTACAAAATGTAAAGGTAAAAATGGATTTAAACATATGTCAAAGATGCCAAAAGGATAAACTATGTCTCATGTAAAAAAAAAGAGATGAGTAAAAGAAGAAATGAGTTTTAATAATAGACGAATGAAGTATGTGGTAATGGGGTGGGAAAATAATGAGCTTGTGCTTCATCAAACTCCTTTTTCCACCATGTTGAAATGCATTTTTTTAATGATATTTTATGTATGATATTTTTGATCAAAAATAAATAAATCAAATCAATTGTACACGTCTAAATCAATAATAGTGTAGGACGTACACTGCAAAGAAACCCTCACACTGCAAACAAACCACATTTATTTATTATACACACTGTCAGCATGTGCATTTGACATGTAGACACTCACAGATTTGACCGTAGACAGGTGAACATGTATGGATTACATGTTAGGTGTGTGTGTGTGTGTGTGTGTGTGTGTGTGTGTGTGTGTGTGTGTGTGTGTGTGTGCGTGTGTGTAAAAGCTGAAAGTCTTGCAAAACATGTGTGATAAAAGAGCCGACCACTCAAAACAACTGATCTGGATCTTCTGCTTATAAAAGCTTTCTAAATATTAGCACACCACATCCTGCTCGAGTGTGTGTTCATCATCTGAGTGATAACACATCTGTCTCACACACGCACGCACACACACACACACACACATACTCATGGGCATACAAGCACACATACTTTCTCTCAGACACACATACACACTCTCACACACACACACACACACACACACACTCTCTATACCCTGCTGGGGTCAAAGAACTTCCCGGTGTATCTGCCGTGGTTGTGTACGTCCAGCGGGCTCAGAACCTTCCGGATGCCCAGCATGTTGGAGCGGACAATTTTCTGGAAGCTCCAGGGGTTCTGGTTGTTGGAGACACGTTCAGCATGTTCCTTATACATCAACGCCAGACTCTCTCTGCTCACCACCTGCACACACACACACATGCGCACACAGGTTTTCTTTAATCAATTGTGAGGACACTCCATACGTTTCTAGTGTTTTTTTTTCTACAGCCACATGTTATACACTCACTGGCCACTTTATTAGGTACACCGGTCAAACTGCTCATTACAGCTAATGTCTAATCGGCCAATCACATGGCAGCAGCTCACTGCATGTCGGCATGTAGACATGGTCAAGAGGATCTGCTGCAGTTCAGAGTGAGCATCAGAATGGGGAAGAAAGGGGATTTAAGAGACTCTGAACGTGGCATGGTTGTTGCTGCCAGACGGGCTGCTCTGAGTATTTCAGAAACTGCTGATCTACTGGGATTTTCACGCACAACCATCTCTAGGGTTTACAGAGAATGCTCCGACAAAGAGGAAATATCCAGTGAGCGGCAGTTCTGTGGGCGCAAATGCCTTGTTGATGAGGCCAGAGGTCAGAGGAGAATGGCCAGACTGGTTCCAGCTGATAGAAAGGCAACAGTAACTCAAATAAGCACTCGTTACAACCGAGCTCTGCAGAAGAGCATCTCTGAACACACAACACGTACACAATTTGGCCTCAACAACATGAAAGCATGGATCATCCTGCCTTGTATCAGTGGTTCAGGCTGGTGGTGGTGGTGTAATGGTGTTGGGGAGATTTTCTTTGGGTCCATTAGTACCAATTGAGCATCAACGCCACAGCCTACCTGAGTATTGCTGCTGACCATGTCCATCCCTTTATGAGCACAGTGTCTCCATCTTCTGATGGCTACTTCCAGCAGGATAACGCAGCATGTCATAAAGCTCAATCATCTCAGACTGGTGAACATGACGATGAGTTCACTGTACTCAAACGGCCTCCACGGTCACCAGAGCTCAATCCAATAGAGCAGCTTTGGGATGTGGTGGAACGGGAGATTGGCATCATGGATGTGCAGCCGACAAATCTGCAGCAACTGTGTGATGCTATCATGGAGCAAAATCTCTGAGGAATATTTCCAGCAGCTTGTTGAATCTCTGCCGTGTAGGATTGAGGCAGTTCTGAAGGCAAAAGGGGGTCCAGCCCAGTATTAGTGAGGTGTACCTAATAAAGTGGCCGCTGAGTGTATATCAAGTTTTTATATATTTTTTATTTTATATTGCATAACTTCTATTTTTATGTCTACATTTGTTTTTCTTATTATTATTTTATTCCATATTTTAGATTCTTCTTGTTATTTTTAAGGTCACGAGTGGTTGTGTAAGCATTCGACTGCACATCGCGCTGTGTATGACTCTGTATGTCTAATAAGATATGAATTTGAACTATTGATGGTTTGAGTTTAGTACACTGTAAAACTGTCGCTGCCCTACACTGTTTTAGATGAATCAAATGAACTTTTCTAGTCATCTCAACCAACTTACACCAGGCAAACTGACTGACATAATAAGCACACATACTTTGAATGACTTAAATGCAGTTCAATCCTTATTAGCTTAATAAAATAAGTCAAAGTAACATAAAAGATCTGTCATCATTGTTATTTTGTCATTGCGTGCTCAGAGCAGCTGTGTGTGTGTGCTGCACAGACCTTGGCAGGGAAGGGCAGTTTTTTGGCCACTTGTTTGAGCATGGCCTCCACCTGGACCAGCTCCAGTTGTCCCCCCATCTCCAGCACTAGCCGTCCACACTTGATGGGCGTCACGTAGTGGTCGATGGCGCCCTTGCCTCCGCCCATGCGCTGACCCAGACTCTTGCGTGTGATTGGTTTGTGTGGAGGCTGGAAACGCCACACCGCAAACATGCTGCTGGGGTCAATGCTGCGGTTTATGGTCAGACGCATCATCTCTATGTGACCCCAGTGCAGGAACCCTCCACCCAGAGCCTGCGCAAACACACACACACACACACACACACACACTTATAAATGTACAAACACATATGCACACTGAAGCGCACAGACACTTATACGAGCACAGATATACACACACATGTACAGTTGAAGTCTTTTTATTCTTTTGTAAATATTTCCCAACGATGTTGAACAGATTCAAGAATTTTCACAGTATTTCCTCTAATATTATTTCTTATTTGTTTAATTTGGGCTGGAATAAAAGCAGGTTTTGATTGTTTTAAAGCCATTTTAAGGTCAATATTATTAGCCCCCTTAAGCATTTTAAGTTCATTCATTCATTTTCTTGTCGGCTTAGTCCCTTTATTAATCCGGGGTCGCCACAGCGGAATGAACCGCCAACTTATCCAGCAAGATTTTACGCAGCGGATGCCCTTCCAGCTGATACCCATCTCTGGGAAAAACATTATTAGTTTTCCACACAAACATATACACACACAGACGTGCGTGCACACACACACACACACACACAATTACACATGCATACACACATACTCACCTACAAACAGACCTCACATAAATATGCACATACACCCAACCACACACACATATGCATTTAAACACTTTAACACACACATTTAATCTACACATACATGCACGCACACACACACACATATGCATACAAACACATATAAACACACAAATGCACATTTGCATAAAAACACACACACATTTACACACTTATGCATACACACATGCATGCACACAAACACAAATATGCAAACACAAACACATGCATATAAATAACACATATGCACATAAACATACATACACACATGCATACATATACATATATAGACATACACACACGTTTACAAACTTATGCATGCACACACACACTCAAATACTCATGCACACACGTGTATATAGCCAAAAAAACACAAATGCATATAAACACACACACACACACACACAAGCACACTTGTATACATGTGTAAACAGACACACACACACATAGCAGTCCTAAAGCACTTTACACAATTCAACAACACACACTAGTCGAGTTCTAACTCCAGCTTTATTGCTTGTGCTGATCAGGTCTGCTGTTTAAATGTGAAGAGTGTGTGTGTGAGACACTGACCAGAATGCCGTACTGTCCCTGGCTGAATTTGGTGGCGGTTCGGGACGGGCCCTGAATGTCCCGCAGCCTCTTCATCTCCTTCTTGGCTTGTTTCAGATTCGGCACTTTCTCCATGAACTTGAGTTTGGGCTTCTCTGGTAACTCCACATCTGTGTGTGAGAGAGACACACAATCAGTCATGAAGTGAACACTGCACACGGCTCAGTGCGATTATTAAACACCACCATTTCTTACAGTATACACTGAACACAGAGGGGTTGTTTATGTGTACAGTTATTATCTCTCCTAATTATAAGAATAATAACTGTGTCTTCATTCATTCAACTATTCATTTTCCTTAGTCCCTTTATTCATCAGGGGCAACCCACAGCGGAATGAACCGACAACTATTCCAGCATATGTTTTACACAGCGGATGCCCTTCCAAATGCAACCCAGTACTGGGAAACATCCATACATGCTCATTCATACACACACTCATACATTACAGCCAGTTTATTCATCATGTGTTTGGACTGTGGGGGAAACCGGAGCACCCGGAGGAAACCCACACCAACACGGGGAGAACATGCAAACTCCACACAGACTCAAACTAGCAACCTTCTTGCTGTGATACCACAGTGCTAACCACTGATTCATTCATTCATTTTCTTGTTGGCTTAGTCCCTTTATTAATCCGGGGTCGCCACAGCGGAATGAACCGCCAACTTATCCAGCAAGTTTTTTACGCAGCGGATGCCCTTCCAGCTGCAACCCACCTCTGGGAAACATCCACACACACACTCATACAATACGGACAATTTAGCCTACCCAGTTCACCTGTACAGTCTCCCTGCATTCTCCACTGCTTCGCCATCTTCAATAATATTAAAGAATAAAAATAATAATAATTATAAATGTTATTTATTAATTTTGTCTTCAACTTTAAATTGACAAATAAATACATGATAAATATCAGTACTGTAGCTTTAGAATATAATCTACAATCAAATAAAATTAACATCATCAATTTGTTTAAATATCCAGAGTAATTTCACCAAATTTGTCATCATCATTTATAATGTTTTTTATATTTATTAGACAATATTAGTATTATACTAATAAAAACATTGATATATAATAATGAAAGCTACATTAAAAACTGCCAAACGCTATTATTTGACAACGATTTGAAATAAAAGTCAAATTATTTCCAAAAAAAATCTGACATACTGAACTAAAATGAATTTAAAAACAGACATTTTGGTGTAAAATGCAAAGCAAAATGCATTTAAAAACAAAATGATCAAAATTTAAACTAAAATTAATGTGAACATGAAAACTGAAAATATAAAAATGTCAAATATGAGAGTAAACCCATATTTACCGCTGAAGTCTGGAGGGATTTCATAGGTCCTCATCCCCGCCGACAGCAGCTTCATCTGCTTCTGCAGCACATCTGAAAACCACACACACACACACACACACAGTTAGCATCCAGTAAACTAGTGTGTGAGTTAGCATTAATCATTTAACTTCATTCATTTTCCTTCAGCTTACGTCTCTATTGCAGAGGTTGCCACAGCGGAATGAACCGCCAACTATTCCAGTATATGTTTTGGTTACCACTGAGCCACCATGCCAGCCACATTTAACTTCATAACCAACCTAATAACTCTGAGGTAACAATATCAAGGTGACACGGTGGCTCAGTACTGTGGCCTCACAGCAAGAAGGTCGCTGGTTTGAGTCCTGACTGAGTCAGTTGGTGTTTCCGTGTGGAGTTTGCATGTTCTCCCTGTGTTGGCTCCGGTTTCCCCCACAGTCCAAACACATGCACTGTAGGGGAAATTATTAATTAAACTGGCCGTAGTGTATGAGTGTGTGAGAGAATGAGTGTGTATGGGTGTTTCCCAGTACTGGGTTGCAGCTGGAAGGGCATCCATTGTGTAAAACATATGTTGGAATAGTTTGTGGTTCATTCCGCTGTGGCGACCTCTGATGAATAAAGGGACTAAGCCTTTAGTAAACAGTTTTAATGGCTGAGTTACTCTAAACTAGTTACCAGAATCAACAATATTGAAGAATATTAAATCTCAAGCTACTGCACACGGTAAACTACTGTTTAATATTTATAAACAACGTATTTGTGTCCTTTTTTATATCCATTTTAAGCATCTTTATTTATTGTACTCAATGTATTTTGTGTTGTTTAACATTTGTTTTCATGTAAAGTACTGTGAATTAGCATCGTGTATCACATATGCCAACTTACACTAATAAACTTGCATAACTAGTGCTATTACTAACCACTACTGGCTAGCATATTCATGCACAGGGTGAGAAACTAAATCTATCGCCATACTATATGAATCCAAACATGTCTCGTGTCACTGCTAATAACGGATAATATGAATTCAATGAAATATCGTTACATGTGAATGAGATTATTAGATATTTAAATGTACCTCTCTGACTGGACGACCGGACAATGCCCAGAAAGACACTCTTCACTACCGGGAACATGACTGAATATGCAGCTTATGTATTTTTGCAATGTAAATATGTATAAATGTTCATTTCTGCCAGTTATAATTCACGTCGGCTCCACAAGGTCGCTGCCATGTTTGATCAACATGCGGTGTGTCAGTGAAACTCCGTCGGTGGGAAATCGGCAAACTTCAGTTCCGCTTGATTTTTTTATATTTGTTTTCTCGTTTATTTATTTATTTGCTTTCGCTTTTATTTACTTGTATCCAAAACCCTCGTAGTTTAATAGAGTAAATAATAATATCAAACGTTTGATATTTACATTTAGCGTTCAGTATTAGCAAAGTGGCTAACTTAAATTAGCATACTAAATCATATAAGCCTAGTGCACACTAAGTTAGAATTCGTTACTTGAGCGACTATCAAAACAGATTTTGCACACAAATAAAACAGCTCTGATATATTTCTGAGAAAGCCCAACATATTTACTCTTCGTCAACTGTTTAAATAATACTTTTTCACAATTAGCATACACTAAGCACTACACTATTTACACCAGCCTGATGATGATCAATAACACCTGCCACATGATCTCGATCTGAACTGAGAGCTGAAGAACTACTTTAACTTCAGGTAAACTTTAACTAGTCCCCAGAAGACAGTGTTGATTATTTAATAAACAAATGCTTTGATTTTGAAGTGAAATTTCCATTTTTTAGAAAGATATTAGCAGTAAAACCTTTAGAATAATTAAGGTTTGTTCATGTTTTTGAAAGGAGTCTCAAGCCTACACAACCAGATTTGATGAAAAATATAGTAATATTGTGAAAAATACTACAATGTAAAGCTGTTTTCTATATTAATATCTAGAACAATGTGATTTATATAGATGTGTGTTGTGCAGCTGTATTTTCAGCATCATTACTGCAGTCTTCAATGTTGACGGTCATTCAGAAATCACTATAATATGAGGATTTGAAGTTAAAGCAGCTGCACTTTGACAATATTTTTGCTGCTTACCTTTAAAAAGTGCCATAAACCTTTGGACCCTTACATCCTATTTTAGGTGTTTATCTTTTTTTAGGATTTTTTAGGATAAACGTAAATAAATAATAATAAAAATGACCAGCTAAATCCAGCTAAAACCAGCTTGACCAGCCTTGTTTAAGCTGGACATAGCTGGTTTTGGCTGGGCTCCCAGTCTGGCTAGGCTGGTCAAGCTGGTTTTAGCTGGTCATCTCCCAGCCTGACCAGCTAAGACCAGGCTGGAAATGGCTGGAAACCAGGCTGAAAGTGGCCAAAACCCCTCTAAAACCAGCCTGGTCGACCAGCTAACCAGCCTAGGCTGGTTTAAGCTGTTTTTTTCAGTAGGGATAGCATTTATTAAACATATTTTATATAATTTTTGTCACTTTTGATCAGGTTATTGCATCCTAGAGTTTTAACCCAATTTTGGAATAACATTTTTAATTCAACTGTTGGGCTTGCCGCTTGTCCATATTTGACCCAACAGGTGGGTTAAAACATGCACAGTATTAAAAAAATGCTGTGTTTTCATAACTAAACATTGGACAAATATGGACAAATACAATTCATCAATTAAGTTTAAATTGCACTGTAACACAATGGTTGATTTTGTCCATAATTGACCCAACAATTGTGTTAAAAATGTAAAACAAATTTAATTTAAAAGATGAATTAGCATGTAGCCAGCATTTATTGAGTGGAATTTGAGTTGGGTTTGTTCATACTTGACCCAAAGCTGGGTCAAAACAACCTTGCATTTTTAGTGTAATTAAAAGTAACCTCTCACCATTGCCAATACAAAAAAAAAATGCAGGGTTGTTCAACTCAACATTTGGTTCATCCATGTTTGACCCAACAACTGAGTGTAACGGAGGCCAGCTAGTAAACTCTGTGCAGGTAAACCTCACTCCTCTGACCTCTAATATTGCTCTAGCGACATACATTAGAGTCTATAGCCTTTAGCCTCGTTGGTAGAGCAACCAACTTCCATGCGGAAGGTCGCCAGTTCGATATCAGCTCAGAGCGGGTTGGGTGGCGTAGGATCGGCGGAGTGACATGGGCTATAAATGTCATTGATATTTCATTTTTAAAAAAACATACCCAACATGAGGCTCATATTTGTCCCTAACACGGGTAAAAACAACCCAGCATTTCTATAGTGAATAATACCGTTTAACTATTAATGTATTTTTTGTTTTTGCAGATTCCTAGTTAAAGTCCTGCATGATGTCAGAGTTCCCAGAATCCAGTGACTCTGAGTTCCCGTACTCGTTCTCTGCTGACGGCCGGCTGCGACACACACACACCGGTGAGCCATACCGCTTCCAGTTCCACCTACGGGACGCTCTGCAGACGGAGACAGAGCAGCGTAGACTCTGCAGATTCCTGACGCAGCACGTTTACACACTCCTGCAGCAGAACTTTCAGATGCGTCTGGAGGAACACTGCTCTGTGTTCATGACCCCCGGAGCCCTGGAGCATGCTGGGTGTTTGCTGCTGCTCCTGCAGGACCGGGGAACAGTGCGAGGTGGACTCTGGAGCTGGAAGATCACGGCTCACGAGGGCTTGGAGACCGGCAGTCAGATCCCGTATTTGCGCTGGGCTCTGATGGAGAACTACGCCGTCATCATCATGAACCCCAATGGAGATCTGCACAACAAGGTTATTTTAGGAAACCAAGACTATTGGTCAAAACAACTATTGGTGCTTTAAAATCTGAGCTGCGGCTGTTTAGAGAAACACCAGTAGGTGGCGTCAAACACATCAGTCAAGACTAAAACTATTGGGTCATGAAACATTTTAGCCTGACTGAAATTTAGCTGAAATATATTAGAAAATTCACAATAAATTAAAATAAAATCTAAAATAAAATAATAATGGTTTTCAGAATTAATAATCACTCATTCTGCTGTGTGAAATCTGAGCTGCGGCTGTTTAGAGAAACACCAGTAGGTGGCGCCAAACACATCAGCCAAGAGCTTGATTATATACAAAAACAAATTTAGAAGCAAAAACTAATACTAATTTCCCACTACTGGGTTGCAGCTGGAAGGGCATACGCTGTGTAAAACATATGCTGGATAAGTTGGTGGTTCATTCCACTGTGGTGACCCCTAATGAATAAAGGGACTAAGCCAAGTGAAAATGAATGAATGAATTAAGACTAAACCTATTGGTCAACTCTTTAGAGGAACACCAGTAGGGGGCGCCAAACACGTCAGTCAAGACAAAAACTACTGGTCAAAAACATTTTAATCTGACTGAAATTTAGCTGAAATAATATAAAAAATTCACAATAAATTAAAAAGTTAAAATTAAGAGCTACTGAAAAACTAACTGAAATAAAATAATAATGGTTTTCAAAATTAATAATCACTCATTCTGCTGTATAAAATCTGAGCTGTGGCTGTTTAGAGAAACACCAGTAGGTGGCGCCAAACACATCAATCAAGAGCTTGATTATATACAAAATATACACTTTTTCTCTATAAATGTTATTATTATTTTATTCATTCATTTTCTTTTCGGCTTAGTCCCTTTATTAATCTGGGGTCGCCACAGTGGAATGAACCGCCAACTTATCCAGCACGTTTTTTTTGCAGCGGATGCCCTTCCAGCTGTAACCCATCTCTAGGCAAGTTATAATTAATTGACTGTCGTAATTAGATGTGCAGACCATGGATATTTTAGTAAACTAAAACAATAGTTCCAAAAACATTTTTGTCGGACTGAAATTTAACTAAATTGAAATAAAAAATTAATAATAAAATAAAAATTAACCCAAAACTGCAATTAAATAATAATTGACGAAAATAATAATGGTTTTGAGAATTAATAATCACTCATTCTGCTGTGTAAAATCTGAGCTGCGGCTGTTTAGAGAAACACCAGTAGGTGGCGCCAAACGCATCAGCCAAGAGCTTGATTATACACAAAGGAAATAAAAAACATGCATAAACGAAACTATAAATACTTTTAAAACTAGCTAGAGTCGATCATCACGCAGCAGTGCCTGCTTCTGTTTGTCATCAATCTGGCATCCTGCATTCTTGTGGAGTCAGCCTCAGAGGGCCCAAGTAAAAAGTGTTTGGATTTTGGACTGCAATAGTTAGTTCAGCCACTGGGGCTCACTCTGACATACTGCACCATTGAATATGAATGCAGACCTGTAATGTCATGCCATTTGCTGCAGACGCCGGAGGAGCATGTGTCTGAGGTGTGGCGGCGTCTGGTGTGTGTGAGCGCAGCGCAGCATGTGTTTGTGGTGGCTCATGGATATGGAGGTCTGGCGTTTGTGGATCTGCTGTGCTGCCGGATGGAGGAGGTGCAGCGGCGGGTCACAGCCGTGGCCTTTCTGGACTCCAGTCACAGTCTGTGGCATCAGCCGCTGGGGAAAGCCGGACGAGACTGGCTAAGGTGCAGAATAATGACTAAAAAATAAATAAATAAATCACTGAAGCTGGAAAATATCGAAACATTATCATAACAGCAATCCAGCTCATCAACACTTGAAGATAATTGTGTAGGGTAATAATGTGAGGGTGCTGGTAGAAGGTAATAAAATGCAATTTAATGGGTAATTTAATTAATGATATGAATAATACTCAGTATAATTACTGTATTTACATTACTATGACGGTTAGGTTCAGGGTTAGGATGGGGGTAGGCATTAATAACGTACAATAAATGAGTAAATTAATAAATAATGTGAATAATACTCTGTATAATTACTGTTTTACATTATAATGATGGTCGATTTGGGGTTGGAGTAGGGGTAAACATTAATAAAATACGGTTTAATGGGTACATTTAATAAATAATGTGAATAATACTCTGTATAATTACTGTTTTACATTACTGTGATGGTTGAGTTTAGGGTTAGGATGGGGGTAGGCATTAATAACATATAATAAATGAATAAATTAAAATAAAATATGAATAATACTCTGTATAATTACAGTTTTTACATTACCACGAGGGTTGATTTAGGGTTGTAGTGGGGGTAAACATGAATAAAATACAATTTAATGGGTAATTTATTAAGTAATAAAAACAATACTCAGTATAATTACTGTTTTACAATACTGTGAGGGTTGGGTTTAGGGTTGGGGGTAAACATTAATAACACAATAAATGAGTAAATTAATAAATAATATAAATAATGTGCTGTTTAATTACAATTTTACACTATTATGACGGTTGAGTTTAGAGTTAGGAAATGGGTAAACATTAATAAAATACAATTTAATGGGTAAATTAATAAATAATGTAAATAATACTCAGTATAATTACTATTTTCACATTACTGTGATGGTTGGGTTTAGGGTTGGGATGGGGGTAAACATTAATAACATACAATAAATGAGTAAATTAATAAATAATATGAATAATGTGCTGTTTAATTACTGTTTCCACATTACTGCAATGGTTGATTTAGGGTTGGAGTAGGGGTAAACATTAATAAAATACAATTTAATGGATAAATTAATAAATAATGTGAATAATAGTCTGTATAATTACTGTTTTTACATTACTGTGATGGTTTGGTGTACTGTTTGTGTGGGGGTAGATGTAAATAAAGTACAATTACTAGTTTATTTGATATATAATATGAATAATTCTCATTAATTTCCGGCCTCAGCTGTTTCCCTTCTACACTTCACCATCAGTGTGTGTGTAATGTGTGCCTGTACTCTGTCCAGGTGTCACTCCAGGACGTGGATCTTGAGCACTAAAGCCCTGAACCGCTCGGTGGGCTCGCTGAAGGCCGGATGCACACAGATCTCTGCCGGGACTCAGTGTCACGACTCCGCGCCCGCCGTCTGCATGGAGTCTGTGTTTCGCTTCTTCAGCAAAACCATCAAACCCAAAGCCACACCGACACCGTTCGAGATCATCACCCGCAGCAGGAGCCGCTCACACGACCACAACAACAACAACAAACACTGAGAGTGAATAAAGCACCATCTGCATCACAGTCAGCATTACTGTCTTCATTCAGGATCTTGGAAACACTTTAGGTTGTAGCTGCCTGTTGTTAAGATATGAACTGTTCATTAGCAGTTATGAAGTATGATCTTATTCTGCATCCCTAATCCTACCCAAAACCTAAACCCAACTACTAGCTTACTATTAATAAACAAATAATTAGTAGTTTAATAAGCTAGTGGTTTGTTGATACTGTGAATTGTAACCTAAACTGAAGTGTCACCAAGATCTTTATTCAGAAACACTAATACTGAAAAATGACAACAGCCAATGAGAATCTGAGTTTCCACTGAAGATTTCCTTCATGGTGTTTTAAAGTCTTTGGTACAGTTGTTGTTTATTTAATTAGCTCAGAAAAATATCTATGAACTTATTATTTTAGTATGATTATTACATAAACGCTGGAAGACGAGAGAGGACAATGACTATATCCGCTGTGTAAAACATATGCTGGAATAGTTGGTGGTTCATTCCACTGTGGCGACCCCGGAAAAATAAAGGGACTAAGTTGAAGGAAAATTAATGAATGAATATCGAATTAACTCAGAAAAATATCTATGATGTTTATTTTGGTTTGATCATGATTTATATATACATTTAATTGCTAATAAAATATCGAAACATGAGTGATATCTGAGCAAGTATTATTACATTATCGCATGTTTTCCCATATCATGCAGCGAGTAAAAGTATCTGCTATAAATTAGTCACAATTCACGACTAATCATGAGCAAAATAAGTTACTTACATAATATACAGTCAAAATTAGCAGTAAAAACACAGAGCTTTATTATGAAAACTTACAAATATTTCACAACACAAAGCTGTTATTATAAATACATCAGATCCTCGTTTCCACAGGAAACCCTGCATCCTCTTCTTCAATCGCTCTTAAAGGGACGGTACACCTAAAAGTGATCATTCTACCATCATGTAATCCCTGTTTGAGTTTCTCTCTTCTGCTGAACACAAATGAAGATCCACTGGAGAAATACAGCCATTGTCTTCAATAGTATTTTTGTTCCTACAATTGATGTCAACATTCTTCAAAATATCTTGTTCTGTGTTCAACAGAAGGAAAAACTCCAAAGATTAGAAACACTTAAGCGCAAGTAAATGAGGAGGAAATGTTGGTTTTTGTGTGAATTGTCCCTTTTACAACTCTTGAACTCACGGCTAGATGTCGTGGTACAGCAGGTCATATTTGGGGATGTTTCTGGGGTCGATCGGGCTCTGGACGATCAGTTTTCCCCTCATGGCTCCTCGATAAATCACTTCAATCAGATCCATGAAGTCTTGCTTGCTTTTGAAGCTTCCCACAAACTTGGTGTGATCTGGAGATCTGAAACACCCGAGAAAAACAGCGTAATCACCACACTATTACACACGCTCAGTCTGACGCAATATTAAATTTTAAAAGGTGTGTGAGTTTGAGCTGAGAACAGCACACAGGTAATGTTCTCCAGCTCTCTGAAACTGACCCTTTCAGGCTTTGATCCTAAGTGTGGCGTTTTGGTGACTGTCGCTTTAAATGCAAATGAGAGTGTGCTCTTTTCAGAGGAGGGCGGAGCTATAAATCTAAATATTTCAGCATAGGGGCAGGTGTAAAACAGCAGTGTGTGTGTTGTGAGTGCTGGTCAGGTGTGCTTCAGTGTGAGTGTGTGTTCATGCTTCTGTCAGTCTATGTGGCTCCTGATCTAAAACTCCACATCTATACTCCTCTTAGTCTATGCTGACATCATCTTCAGCAGCTCAAACACTCTAATGGCGAATGGACAGACGGCTGCTTCTCACTCAGGGCTGCTGGAGATGCTAATGAGATGGAGAGATGGGCACTAGTGGGCGGGGCTTTCCCCCTCTGATGACACGTACAAAAGGAGAATGTCAACAATTTCTGTGACAATATAATGCACAAGAAATACTTTTATTGCCTCAAGCGATGTGCAATTTGTATAACCATATACCAAGAAGCTCATGCAATTGTAAAATGCACATTAAAAACATATGAGTAGGCTAAACTTTTTATTTAATGAGAAAAAATGTGCACAAACTACAATGGAAACAGATTTAACGGACAAACTATGGATGTCGATGGCTGATCATTCTTCAGAGTATCTTCTTTAGTGTTCGACTGAATTAACAATCTAATAAATGATGAGGGAATGCTCGTTTTTGGGTGAACTGTCCCTTTAAGAGAGTGAGAAGTGAGATCTTTTCATCGCTGCACTTTCCTAACACAGCTCTTTGGAAATGTCTGTGTCAGCAGAAGTTAAATTTAGATTCACCAATAAGACGCTTCTCACTTTAACCACATATCCTGTGTTTGTGACCTTTGCAGAACAGAGTATTCTGTTCCTGGATCAGAGCCAGATTAATAATCTAATAATATCATATTAATATAGATAATATAAGGATATAATATAGCCATTACCAAGAAAAAAAGCTCAATATAAAGCGAGAGACAGAGAGCGAGATGGAAGTAGACATGGGCGCTTTATTATGGGCGCTTCAAAATACTGTCAATAAATACTTATTATTTAAACTTAAATAAATGTACAGATCCTTTTATTTCAGTGCACCAAATGATGAAGAATTAAAGTGATATATATTTATAAATGAACATTTTCACTTGTTAATATTTCCTGACACATGTTGGGATACAATACTCATTTTTTTTAATACTAAAATATTAACATGTAATATTTATTAGTTAACACTGTACAATTAGGCTCAATTTGTTAAGATTAGTTTAACTAAACTCAAGATTAAAGCTATAAAATCATGTATTCATCTTAGCTGACGTTAATGTCTTTGTTAATGCTTAATAATTCATTAAAATAAAAGCTTGTTTTATTAAATGTAGTTAACAACTGATCAAATTCTGACATCAACATAACTAATAAATGTGCTTCATTATCACTGTTGATTTGAACGCTTTTACTAGTAAACATTTTTTAATGTGCTTTATAATCATTTTGCAATTAGATTTATTTAAACATTTGTTAACTCTGAACATTTACATGCAATAATGCAACACACAAAACCCTGTTTTAGTTCTTACACCTGTTAAAGTGACATATTTGGCAGCTTTGATAAACATTGTGATGATTATAGCATATATATGGTGATAGAAGCTTCAGTCGCAATAAACATTTTGATGCCAGCAGAATCTAACATTGATCAGAACTCACCCATAATCCACTTTCATGTGCTGTCCGTTGAAGAAGAACACGGTGGAGGGAATAAAGCTGATGTCAAAGTATCTGCTGTAAACTGGAGCTGAGTCGACATCCACCAGATAAATACTGGCCATATTACTCAGATCATGAGCCGTCTTTGACAGCTGTCAATCACACAAACACAACACTTTCAGTATTTATCCTTTTATTTAAAAAATGTGCATTTAAAAAAAACATACTATAACTTTATAATGCATAAATTGCACTTTAATATGAGTTAATTGTGACTTGTAAACTACACAACTAAAGTATACATCTGTCAAATGTGCACTAATGTGAATATAAAATGCTGTACAAATCTAACAAGTATATAATAGATACTTTAATAGCCAACTAAATCGAGGTATTTAAGTGAAATACATGCGTGGATCAAGTCAAACTCAAGTGACTACATGAAATGTTAATCACAAATAGATTCATTATATACACATAGTGATTATAAACATAGAATATATACTAAATGAAAGCAAAGTGTTTAAAATTAATTTAGTTTAAATAACCGCTATTACATGTAACTTATTTATGCAAGTAATAATTGATGAATCTTCATTGAGTTAACAGAAAAACAAGTGTGCATTATATACTGATAACTCAATATTGAGGAGTGCATTATTCTGCTTATTCTCAGCTAAATCCACAGTTCAGATGTTGTGTTTGAGAGTGTATTTGTCAGGTTTTTGCTTCTGTGTGTAGCACTAGTGTCCTCCACATCTCCTCTGAAGGCTTCTGTTGTGATTTCTTGTAGCTGTGAAATAACTCTAATCATTCAGCGGAGTGATATGAAGCTGTAAACCTGTCGGAACTACTTTAGCTGTGCCTTTATCTGACAATAACCAAACACCTGAGAGTGACCATTCAACTGTGCTGTGGTATAAACAGAAATAAACAACATGCTTAATCTGAGCTGTACTTGTGTTTATGAAAGATAGAGACACGAAACAAAGATTTCATTTGACTTTTGATGAGTATTTGGGGGGCAAACCGTGATCATTAAATAACAAGTCTTTTAATAGGTCTGAAAATGACTTTATTCTCTAAATAATATGATTTTTGAACATCAAACTGTTGATACTGGCTGATGATTATAGTTATTAGTTTTTTGTTTAGACCAAACAACTTCTTACAGCCTAAAACATACATATATCTATACAACGTGACTGTTCGAGTACACAAAGACATTATTAGTAAGCTGATAATAATTATTAAGCTTATTATAATGCGTACAGACGTACATATAAAGCGATACAGACCACAGAGAGAGCATATATTATACTCACTAATGTATTAATATAGAGTGATACGGACATCAGAGTAAACATATATATTAATTAACGTTAATTAACCCATTAGTTAATGATTAAAGATGACTAATAACCGACTCACGATCTCGTCGATCTGCAGACACACCGAATCTTCATCTCTGCCGAAGCGCAGCACGAGAACCTTCTCAGCGACACTCTTAATCGCCTCATCAATGTCTTTTTTACTCGACAGTTTAGGGAGGAAAAGGCTCATGACGCTTTAATTAAAATAAAACCCACTTATCAATTGAATTAACATGGAGGAGGGTGTGCGCGAACTCCTGCGGATGTTTACTAATGTGTGGTACAACACTATATTAGAACCGACTAGAAACGCCAACAACTGTTCCAACACAGTTTACGTGTCTTCACTTAAATAGCATATTATTACTAATGCAAAATTTAAAAAACATATAATTTAAAATAAGATTAATATTAGTATTTGCACACAAATGTGTACACAAATCATCTTTTTAATATTGATTTTCGCACGGTCAGATTTCACTGCTGCACACAGACATCCACATGACACCAACAGCGCGTGTGTCCTTTTGAGGGTCCTGTAGTGACTTCTGAGTGGACTTGCTGGCCAGCAGCTGATGTGGAACAGAGATTTACTTTAATTAAAGTGTAAATAATGTTGTAGGGGTTGAAGAGGACGGGGGTGGGCGTCACAGTGCTGATTTAATCTGATTTTCTTTCCCCAACAGTGAGTATTTCTGAATGATACCGCGAACATTTGGTAATAATTCTACTTTAATGCGAGGCACTACAGGTTAGTTATGTTAACCAGTATACTACAATGTCATTTGATATTTCTTATGTTTAAATATACTAATAAGTTATCAGACAATTAATTATACAGTAATTTACCGAACATAAATCAGAAGATTAAATGAAGCAGGTTCAGAATTCTCTTGCATTTGTTGACACGATAAACGTTTTTACAGATGAGGTTTTAGATTCTGTTTTTATCAAATACAAACACTGTTAGAGATGAACAGAATAAACTAAGCATATTGCAATATATATTGATGTACACTAATCGGCCACTTTATTAGGTACACCTCACTAGTACCGTGTCGGACCCGCATTGCCTTCAGATCTGTCTTAATCCTTGGTGTCAGAGATTCAACAAGCTGCTGGAAATATTCCTCAGAGATTTTGCTCCATGACAGCATCACACAGTTGCTGCAGATTTGTCGGCTGCACATCCATGATGCCAATCTCCCGTTCCACCACATCCCAAAGCTGCTCTATTGGATTGAGCTCTGGTGGCTGTGGAGGCCATTTGAGTACAGCGAACTCATCGTCATGTTCACCAGTGTGAGATGATTGAGCTTTATGCTGCGTTATCCTGCTGGAAGTAGCCATCAGAAGATGGAGACACTGTGCTCATAAAGGGATGGACATGGTCAGCAGCAATACTCAGGTAGGCTGTGGCGTTGATGCTCAATTGGTACTAATGGACCCAAAGAAAATCTCCCCCACACCATTACACCACCACCACCAGCCTGAACCGCTGATACAAGGCAGGATGATCCATGCTTTCATGTTCTGATGCCAAATTGTGTTTGTGTTGTGTGTTCAGAGATGCTCTTCTGCAGAGCTCGGTTGTAGCGAGTGCTTATTTGAGTTACTGTTGCCTTTCTATCAGCTGGAACCAGTCTGGCCATTCTCCTCTGACCTCTGACCTCATCATCAAGGCATTTGCGCCCACAGAACTGCCGCTCACTGGATATTTCCTCTTTGTCGGAGCATTCTCTGTAAACCCTAGAGATGGTTGTGCGTGAAAATCCCAGTAGATCAGCAGTTTCTGAAATACTCAGAGCAGCCCGTCTGGCAGCAACAACCATGCCACGTTCAGAGTCTCTTAAATCCCCTTTCTTCCCCATTCTGATGCTCGCTTTGAGCTGAAGCAGATTACAGATTTGCGGTAATGAGCAGTCAGACAGGTGTACCTAATAAAGTGGCCAGTGTGTTTTTGTTTTACACTTTTCACTGCTCTGTTGTCATTTCAGTCACAAGATCTTGAAATGGATCTGATCTGATTAATGGCTGGATTACAGTGGTAGAGTTTTTAAATACCTGATCTCTGTGCTGTTCTCCTCTCCTCAGCTGATGATGTTTCTGCGCTGGTGTTTCCCGCCGGTCAGACGGATGTGTGTGTGTCAGCAGATCTCCGTCAGGTCCTTCAGCAGCAGCCGGACGCTCCTCAAAGATGACCCACAGCATGAGGAGAAGCTGGATCTGGACATCTGGAAGTCTGTGATGAGAGCTCAAGCTCTGCCGGAAGATCCTCCGCATCTCCAGGACTCGACATCGGCTGCGTCTGTGCTGGAGGCGCACCGAGAGCTGGTGGAGACCTGGCATCAAGCTGGAAAGGTGATGCTACACTTATTATAACCCTTAAATCCCCCTCAGATTGACTCCTCTTTGGTGATGTTGGTGCTGTTTTTGCCCCATTGACACACACATGCATGTATGTATGTATTTCTACACGTATACCTCCACGTGTGCAGCTGGTGCCGAAGGTGATCACGGATCAGCAGCTGCAGGAACTCTCCATTCTCACCACTAAATCCTCCAAGAAGAAATACCTCAAATTCCTGGCCATCAAGGAGGCGCAGAAGAACAACGACAAGAGGAAGCAGGAGAAGAAGAGAGCTGAGAGAGAAGCGGGAAAACTCCAGAACAATAATGGAGAGGAGGAGGAGGAGGAGCGAGCCGCAGGCCCCGAGAACACCTTCATGCTGAGGCTCCGCAACAACTCCATCGAGAGCGCACACAACTGGAGGACGGTGAGTGTGTGCTGATGCATATTCTTTATCTGAGTGTGCGTGTATGTGTAGGGTTTGAGTGTGTGTGTTACTTTCTGTGTGTGTGCAGTGTCTTGTGTGTGTGTGTGTGTGTTTGTGTCTGAGTGTAAATGTAGTTCTGAGTGTCTAGTGCAGGGGTGTCAAACTCAATTCCTGGAGGGCCGCAGCCCTGCACAGTTTAGTTCCAACCCTGCTCCAACACACTTACCTGTAGGATTCAAACAAGCCTGAAGAACTCAATTAGTTTGATCAGGTGTGTTTAATTAGGGTTGGAACTAAACGGTGCAGAGCTGCGGCCCTCCAGGAACTGAGTTTGACACCTGTGCTGTAGTGTGTCTGAGTGTATGTTTGTGTCTGTGTGTCAAAATGCGTGTGTGTGTCTGAGTGTGTGTTTGTGTCTGAGTGTAATATTTGAGTGTGTGTGTGTGTGTGTGTGTATTGTTTGAGTGTGTTTGTGTCTACATTTGTGTGTGTGTAGTGTCTGAGTGTGTAGTGTTTGTGTGTGTTTGTGTCTGAGTGTAATGTTTGATAGTGTGTGTGTGTGTGTGTGAGAGAGAGTAGTGTTTGAGTGTGTGTGTGTGTGAGTAGTGTTTGAGTGTCTGAATGTGTGTGTGTTTGTGTTTAAATGTTTGTGTTTGTCTAAATGTGTGTGTAGTGTCTGTGTGTGTGTTTGTGTCTAAATGTGTGTGCGTTTGTGTCTGAATGTGTGTGCGTTTGTGTCTGAATGTGTGTGTGTAGTGTCTGTGTGTGTAGTGTCTTAGTGTAATGTGTGTTTGTGTGAGTAGTGTTTGTGTCTAAATGTGTGTGCGTTTGTGTCTGAATGTGTGTGTGTTTGTCTAAATGTGTGTGTGTAGTGTCTGTGTGTAGTGTCTTAGTGTAATGTGTGTTTGTGTGAGTAGCGTTTGAGTGTGTTTGTGTCTAAATGTGTGTGCATTTGTGTCTGAATGTGTGTGTGTGTTTGTCTGAATGTGTGTGTGTAGTGTCTGTGTGTGTAGTGTCTTAGTGTAATGTGTGTTTGTGTGAGTAGCGTTTGAGTGTGTTTGTGTCTAAATGTGTGTGTGTGTGTAGTGTCTGAGTGTGTGTTTGTGTCTGAGTGTAATTTTTGTGTGTTTGTCTAAATGTGTGTGTGTGTGTGTGTGTGTTTGTCTAAATGTGTGTGTGTGTGTGTGTGTGTGTGGTCTTTGAATGTATTTTTGTGTCTGAATGTGTGTTTTTCTGAGTGCATGTTTAGTGTCTGTGTGTGTGTTTTTGAGTGTGTTTATGTGTATGTCTAGTGTTTAAGTGTGGTGTGTAGTGTTTGGGTGAGTGTGTGTGTGTGTTTTTGAGTGTGTTTATGTGTCTATGTCTAGTGTTTAAGTGTGGTGTGTAGTGTTTGGCTGTGTGTGTGTTTGGTATTCATCACCTCTACTGGTGCTGTAGTTTGTCTTGTGAGATGACTGCAGCTGGTTAATGATCTCCTGTCCTTCATCTCCAGGCGCAGGCGATGCGCTTCGACCAGCCGCTGGTCTTCGACATGAGCTACGATCAGCAGATGAGCCGGCATGAGCTGGAGAATACGGTCAGTCAGCTGCTGGAGAGCGAAGGCTTCAACCGGCGGGTTCAGGAGCCGTTTCACCTGCACTTCTGCAACCTGCAGCCGGGGGGAGCGTACCACCGCGAGCTGCTGCGGAGATACGGGGACGAGACGTGGAGACGGCTGCTGATCACACACACCGAGCGCTCGCCGCTGGAGCTGTTCCCGCATCAGGACCTGGTGTACCTCACAGCAGACTCGCGCTCCGTCCTGCGCACGTTCGACCACACCAAGGTGAACAACAAGCAGCCTTTCCACACGTGTGTGTTTCTCCACAGCAGCCATAGTGTCCTGACCCTCCCCATATCATCATTGGCTTCATCACTCTGTCTCCTAAATTCTGCAATGTCAGATTTCTGCAACATCGTGCAGCTCTGATGTTCATATATGTGTGTGTGTGTGTGTGTGCTGACAGGTGTATATAGTGGGAGCTATGGTGGACCGCAGCATCCGCGTAGGAGCATCGCTTGCTATTGCCAAACGCTTCAGACTGGCCACGGCGCGGCTCCCGCTGGACGAGTATCTGGACTGGGATTGTGGAGCTAAAAATCTGACTCTGGATCAGATGATCCGCATTCTGACCACGGTGAAGCAGACGGGCTGCTGGCAGAAAGCGCTGGAGTTCGTGCCCAAGAGGAAACACAAAGGTTTCCATCAACAAAGCGGCGACAAGAGGAGCCAGAAAAAACACAGAGGAGGAGCAGACAGAGCCCCCTGGTGGAGTCAGCAGAAACAACACCAACAGAAATAATCATGCGCATCGACAGCAATGAGAAGAACTTCAGCAATATTCTGCCTCATGTGCTGAAACTAAAATAATAAAGCGTGTGTGAGGGCTTCTCTTGCTTCATTTTGATATGTTAATACCAATTAAAGAAATGCAAAAAGGATTTCAGTGTAAGAAACATGAGGAAGTAATATTGCTGATTCAAATCATTTCAGGCATCCTACATCTTCTGCTTCATGTGGTGAAACTAAAAGCTACAAACAAATCAAGACTATAATAAATAAAAGCCTGTATTAGGAGCTCCTTCTGTTTCATTTTGACAATATTAATACCAATTAATTGTTTTTTAATCAGTCTATTGCAGGGGTGTCAAACTCAATTACTGGAGGGCTGAAGCTCTGCACAGTTTAGTTCCAACCCTGCACCAACACACTTACCTGTAGGATTCAAACAAGCCTGAAGGACTCAATCAGTTTGATCAGGTGTGTTTAATTAGGGTTGGAACTAAACTGTGCAGAGCTGCGGCCCTCCAGGAACTGAGTTTAACACCTGTGGTCTAAGGAGAAGGGTATAAATGGATGTCGGAGCCAGCTTTAAAAGGGCAGGACTTGAGCTCCAAGTGGGCTGTACAAACCTGGAGTTTTTATTCATTTAATGTCTTGTAGATGACACAGAGTCCAGTATTGTGCTTTCGTAATGTCTATATCTATCCCAACCCTCAACCAGGCCCGGATTGGCTAATCGGGAGCACCAGGAGAGCAGGGGTCCGTTCTTCGTACCTCGCTTAAATGATCTAAGATGATTTTGCCGATCCTGGATCTGTTAATCTTGATAATTGATCTCTGGCTAATTTGGTTCTTCAAACAAGTTCGTGAATCAGATTAAAATGTCTGGATGAACTGATCTGAGATCGCTGTGTGTGTTGTGAAGGACAGATCTATCGATCCTCGAAATCATGATCAGCAATGCAACGATTGGCTGACGAAACAGCAGCGTAATGACATCATCTGATTAATATTCAATTATCCATGTGAGCAAAATTACATCAAATTAGCAGTCGACGGTTTGTTAAATATGACACGCAAGAACTTTCCACATATGTTGTGAGCTGCAGGCTTTACACTTTCATGTGTCAAGAGTATTTATCATGTATTTCGATGCATATCAGTGTATTTAGTTCTACATTTAGAAAACATTTTCTTTATTACAGTAGCCGTTTTTTTAATCGCTGTATGGAATAACTGGATGTTTACAAAAGCATTTTGATATTGGTAAAGGCGTCTGCAACTTTTGTGAAGCACAATCACTGGCATATTTACTGTCAAAACATGTTCATGACTGCATTAATGTATTATTTCTTTTTTTAAAAAAAAAAAACACATATTCTGCATTTCTATTATCATACACAAATTGTACTAAAGCGATCTAAAAAGTTCATATCAATAAATTTTCTCTTTGTACTTTCATTTCAAGGGTGCAGATTGCATAAGTTTTGTTAATATAACTTTATTTTATTAATAACTATAACTTTATATATATAGTTAATTTTTTTAAACTATTTTCCCAAGTGTATATAACTACTACTGTAAGAAAATATCATAATTCGGTACTTTCTCTATTATCTTTGCTTGAACTGAGCCGATCTAATCCTGTTTATATGAATTGAACCTGCTTCCGATCAGGTTTGAGCTAGCAGAACTGTTGCTATGACAACAACTCTCAGATCAGCTTTGAAGAACGAAACGATCCTGGATTATGTCAAATCGTCAATATCCAAATCCAGCTAACTAAGTAATCCACGTACGAAGAACGGACCCCAGTTTTTTGTCCGTGAGGGTCGGTGTGCCTAGCTGCTTGCACTCTCAGCAGTCATACTTTTTTCATCTATTTATTTATTTGACCATAGCCTCACTCTTTTTATTCATTATTTTTATTCATTATTTTGCAGCAGCGCCGCTCTTCTTATTTATTTTCTAACAGCCCCGTGAGCAAAATACAGCCTGCAGGTTAACTAACGTTAATGATGATGTAATGTTAACTATCATTATTCGACCCCAAATAGCGAATTCGAGAATTCGAATAATCAATATTAATGAATAATACACCTGCTCAATGAAAATCAGATGATTCACTACATTAATAAATCTGACATAACTTGATCAGAAATCTAAAAAGGGGAGAAACAGATTAAGCCATCAATAGAAAGTAATACCGTGTCTTGCGGATCACAGTCCAATGCTTATTTTTTATTCTCACTGTAATATCGCTATTGTGGAGCAGTGGTAAACACGTCATGTTTCGACGCCGCCGACCCGTGTTTGAATCTCACCTGGAAAATTTTTTATTTTTTTTTATTGTTAAGACATTTAATATTGATAGAGCTTTTGAACATTTAAAAAGCAGCTGTTTTCTTGAAATAGGCGTGATTGTGTCATTAGAAACGGAATTGGAAATGACCTTATTATTTTAATATAGTCAGTCGTGAACTGAGGTGGGGCGGTCTGGCGTGAAACTCCGTCTGAAAATGAGTCCCACTCCGGCCCTGCCCTCAACCCAACCTCACAGTAACCTGATGCGTTTCATTAATATCTGCTCCACCTACCCCACTGAAACCAAGCCTACGTGTGGTTTAAGTCCCTCCCACTTGGAGGTCACCCAACCTACTTGCGGTGTAATCCCTCCCACTCGGAGATCTCCAGGCTGCAGCGATTCCTACTTGAGTCTAAGCAAGAGTATTATGGATGCATGTTTAACACTTTTAATATTAATATAGACATTATTATTATTTTGTATCAGTTTAAGTGTATAAGAAAGGGCCAGATATCGGGAGGATGGGAAATAAAGCTCACTGTTATAGAGACAGAAATAATAAATGATGATAATATTAATGATATTATTGTATTCCTAATTAAATAAATGTTTTTAAAGCAGAATAAAGCTCATACTGTAACTAGTTCTGCCTTTACTGCGGTAAAAATCATTTCAGAGATCAATAAACTAGAATTATCTAGCTAGATTTAGCATAATTACGCATGTATTACAACCTTTTTTTCATTTTGACATTATTGTGGTGTTTAAATTAGACAGGTTTTTTTGTGAATTGAACAGTTTCCCTCTGCTTTCATTTGAAAGAATATTAGTAAACATGCAGTTTGAGCATGAGAGTTCCTGATTCTGCATTTACAGCGGTACAAATCATTTCAGACATCAGCAAACCTGTGCTTCAGGGAGAATTTGAGCTGATAATCCTGACTAAAACAAGAAATTAGATAGTAATGTACTACATGCGCTATAGGGGAACTGATCAACTAAACTGGCCGTAGTGTATGAGTGTGTGAATGAGTGTGTATGGGTGTTTCCCGGTATTGGGTTGCAGCTGGAAGGGCATGTGCTGTGTAAAATATATGCTGGAATAGTTGTTGGTTCATTCTTCTGTGGTGACCCCTGATTAATAAAGGGATTAAGCTGAAAATGAATGAATGAACAGCTTATGTGTGTGAACATTCATCCAGCGTTCCCAGAACAGGCATACTGTCAGGAATAAAGGAGGAAAACAAAAGACTTTCAGTCTAAACTATTTATTTCGCTCATTTAGAGAGCAACACAACAAAGAGAAAATATCAGCAAAATGTTTTAAAAACAGAATCTGGTCCGGGAGTGATGCAAAAAAGCTGAATATTGATGAAGCATAAATATGATCCAGCATCAGAGTCAACATAATAATCCAGAAACACTGCATTAAATAAACACTGAACTCAGATCAGTCACACACGCACTGTCAAATCTACACCACGAATCAACCACTCACTCTAATGCAGCATTTCTTCAATATTCAAACACAGTGAGACGTCTAGCAGAATGTTCACGCTGCTCATTCTCAGAGGGCGAGGAGTATTGCACTATAACAGTTCATTTGAGGCTCTGTAAAGGGGTTCGTTCACCCAAAACACTGAATTATCCCATGACTTACACATCCCAGGTGTCTTTGACTCTCTTCTTTCAGTCCAATCTAATCTGAGGTGTTTAGAAAATCATATTTGGCTTTTGCAGCTCTACTAAAGGCAACAGGTGGCAGTTTTTTAAATCAGATGTCCAATAAAGTGCATTTATTGTTAATTAAAAGTGTCTCTCATGCCGAATAAAAGTCTCTGCAGTAAATCCAGCATTTTTTGTTAGGAAAATATCAATATTTAAAACTTATAAACTATTTTGTGTAACTACCGGTGACCACCATTCATCTTTAATGCACATTTTGTGGTGCATTAGAGTGGTTTTTTATTATTATTATTATTATTATTATGCAGTTTGTAATTATAATTTTAAGTTACATTTTTAAAGTTCATTTCTAATTATTTTTCTAATTTCATTTGCGTAATTGTTGTGCGTCGTTTGTCTTTAAGATGCATTTTTGGTGCATTAGCGCCACCAACTGGACAGGAGTGTTTTGATTTCTCTCTTCACTGTGCTTCTGTATTGGTTTCAACTGTGCATGCATTTAACACTTAAAAATAAGTTAAAAGACACACTCCTGTATTTATTAGTGCATTAGCGCCACCAGCTGGACAGGAGTGTGTTTTTAATCTCAAGTGTGAAGCACATGCGCAGTTTAAATAAACGCTGAAGTGCAAAGAAGAGAAAACAAAACATTCAGAAGACGACAACAGAGAGAAATGGTTTATAAAGTTATAAATAACAATATTTTTATATTTAAAAAATGCATAAATTCATAATATGAGAGCTTTATTTACCCCCTGGAGCTACATAAGACACTTTATATCATACAATGCATGTGCTTTATTAGACTTCTTTTGCACTGTTGATTAGAAAAATAAATAAATGAAAATAAATCCCCCACCTATTGCCATTATAGAGCTGAAAAGGCCAAGATAATTTACTATATACCTCTGACTGGATCTACAGTAGTCAAGATTTGAAATCATCAGAAAAGATCGCCTGAAACAAAACTCCACTTCACATGTTGACTACTGTTGATGTCTCAGGGGTAATTGTCAGGCTTCAGGGTGAGCTGTGTCTTTAATCAGTCTGTGTGTAGGAGAGCAGACCTGATGATGTTTTCTCTGTCTCTCTCTCCAGCGCTGGTCTTTGGTGTGTTTCTGCTGTAATACTGAAGCGTGGCTCTAGAGAACGATGATCTCCCCGTGGCAGCGCTCGCAGCAGTTAAACGTGATGTTCTCGTAGCGCGTGTACGGGTGGAAGCGGCCAATGCTCTTCCTGTTGGGCAGAAACGGCGAATCAGATGAAGACGCGTCGTGTTCCTGCTCGGAGACGCAGACCGGGTCTAAACTCCGCAGAACCTAAACATGAGGAACACCATGCAGATCAGTCAGAATCCATTATTTTCTTACTATTTCTCTTATTATTAGTACAATTTTACACATCAATGCATTTCTAATCTTTCATTTTTACTATTTTAAATCCGTAATGATTTGATGGTTTGATTCAGTAATAAAGACTCTCGAATCAGCTTGATTCAGTAATAAAGACTCTCGAATCAGCTTGATTCAGTAATAAAGGCTCTCGAATCAGCTTGATTCAGTAATAAAGTCTCTTGAATCAGCTTGATTCAGTAATAAAGGCTCTTGAATCAGCTTGATTCAGTAATAAAGACTCTTGAATCAGCTTGATTCAGTAATAAAGACTCTCGAATCAGCTTGATTCAGTAATAAAGACTCTCGAATCAGCTTGATTCAGTAATAAAGACTCTTGAATCAGCTTGATTCAGTAATAAAGACTCTTGAATCAGCTTGATTCAGTAATAAAGACTCTCGAATCAGCTTGATTCAGTAATAATGGCTCTCGAATCAGCTTGATTCAGTAATAAAGGCTCTCGAATCAGCTTGATTCAGTAATAAAGGCTCTCGAATCAGCTTGATTCAGTAATAAAGGCTCTCGAATCAGCTTGATTCAGTAATAAAGGCTCTCGAATCAGCTTGATTCAGTAATAAAGGCTCTCGAATCAGCTTGATTCAGTAATAAAGTCTCTCGAATCAGCTTGATTCAGTAATAATGGCTCTTGAATCAGCTTGATTCAGTAATAAAGGCTCTTGAATCAGCTTGATTCAGTAATAAAGACTCTTATATCAGCTTGATTCAGTAATAAAGACTCTTGAATCAGCTTGATTCAGTAATAATGGCTCTTGAATCAGCTTGATTCAGTAATAAAGACTCTTGAATCAGCTTGATTCAGTAATAAAGACTCTTGAATCAGCTTGATTCAGTAATAAAGACTCTCGAATCAGCTTGATTCAGTAATAAAGACTCTCGAATCAGCTTGATTCAGTAATAAAGACTCTTGAATCAGCTTGATTCAGTAATAAAGACTCTTGAATCAGCTTGATTCAGTAATAAAGACTCTTGAATCAGCTTGATTAAGTAATAAAGGCTCTCGAATCAACTTGATTCAGTAATAAAGACTCTTGAATCAGCTTGATTCAGTAATAAAGACTCTTGAATCAGCTTGATTAAGTAATAAAGGCTCTCGAATCAGCTTGATTCAGTAATAAAGACTCTTGAATCAGCTTGATTCAGTAATAAAGGCTCTCGAATCAGCTTGATTCAGTAATAAAGGCTCTTGAATCAGCTTGATTCAGTAATAATGGCTCTTGAATCAGCTTGATTCAGTAATAATGGCTCTTGAATCAGCTTGATTCAGTAATAATGGCTCTTGAATCAGCTTGATTCAGTAATAAAGGCTCTTGAATCAGCTTGATTCAGTAATAAAGGCTCTTGAGTCAGCTTGATTCAGTAATAATGGCTCTTGAATCAGCTTGATTCAGTAATAATGGCTCTTGAATCAGCTTGATTCAGTAATAATGGCTCTTGAATCAGCTTGATTCAGTAATAAAGGCTCTTGAATCAGCTTGATTCAGTAATAAAGGCTCTTGAGTCAGCTTGATTCAGTAATAATGGCTCTTGAATCAGCTTGATTCAGTAATAATGGCTCTTGAATCAGCTTGATTCAGTAATAATGGCTCTTGAATCAGCTTGATTCAGTAATAAAGGCTCTTGAAGTGTACTGAAGTGAGTTTCTTCACCTTCTCCGCCATCTTCTCGGCCGGTGTGTTGCAGATCTCAGTGCTCGGGCTCTTCTTGCCGCCGCTGTTCTCCAGTTTGCCCAGCAGGTGAGCGTTGATGGCGTCCGCCAGCTTGTGATTGGCTGTGGCCAGTTCTCCAGTGCTGAGCGGCTTAGCGCTGGGGTAATACGTCTGCTGACGCCCCCACTGCAGAGACACCAGCAGCTGCTCCAGACACCTGCACAACACACAACACGCTCTGTAAGGGTGACGTTATTTTCAGAAGGTCTACAATACATCTCCAGGGTGTGTTTGAGACGTTTCAGCTCATTCACAGATCATCACTCATGCTTCTATCAGTCTATGTCACTCCTGATCTAAAACTCCACATCTATAATCCTCTTAGTCTATGCTGACATCATCTTCAGCAGCTCAAACACTCTAATGGCGAATGGACAGACGGCTGCTTCTCACTCAGGGCTGCTGGAGATGCTAATGAGATGGAGAGATGGGCACAAGTGGGCGGGGCTTTCCCCCTCTGTTGACACGTACAAAGGGAGAATGTCAATCACAGTGTGTCTGCATCAAGTCTGATTATAATAAACACAATTAATTCATCTGTACCATTAGAGGCCGATATATTCACACACTGCTGACACACAACCTCTTATAAAAGTTATTTTTGTATAATGGTTCCCCTTTCAATGCAGTGCTGTTTGTGTTCACCTGTGCGTGTGCGTCATGTCTCTGGAAAACTCTTCTCTTTCACTCAGCAGGTCCTGAATGGCGCACTGAGCATCTCGCGTCTGCCGCTGTAGAGCCGATCTGGCATTGGTCAGTTCCTCCGCCATCACACTGCAAACACACACACACACACACACATCTTTATATAATAGTGTGTGTTGTTTCTGCCCTGCCATCATGCATTCAGCAATCTTTTTTTCCTTTGGTTAGCAACACTAATCTTCCAATTGGTTGGATTTTAAACATCAGCAGATCGCTGTGCCGTTCACACTACATGACTTGACTTTGTGTCTTTTGATCTCTGTGGTGTTCACACTACGCAACACTCCGTGAACGATCCACAAGAGGGGGGTCACACACTACATGATCTGACAACATCTCATTCCCCATCAGCTCATTCAAGCTACCAAACCACAGCCAATGAAAATTTGAGGGAGGAGTCGTCAGAAAAAAGCTGAACACTATTGGCTGCTTGTGTGCTGATGACATCACTGACAGCGTTTCAAGCTTTGGAGAAAGCATTTAAAAACATCGTCAAATCAGCTGATTTATCAGCGGATTAATCACTCATCTGCAGGTTCCAGTGGATAGATATACAGAGAGTTTTTAATTTTTGTAATTTTATAACTCTTTGAAATAAAACTAACATATTTATAACACCCTGCCGCTTTCTAACTATCAGTGTATTTCTTTCTGACATTGTTATTTTTTTTTTATTACAAAACAGTAAAGAACTGAGCATTTCTGCCTTAAATTACCATATTGGTCAAAATGACTGCATGCATGTCTGATACTTTTCACTGTGACTTTAAATATGTGTGCATTTTCTTGCCTGGCAACTTCCTGCTAACATAAACAAAACTTTCTGATGGCAAAAACATCAATTTACTTCAGATATCTTTCAAAACAGCATATTCTGTGCTGTGAAATAGCTCCTGTTTGAAAGTGAAAATGAAAGCCAAGCCTTTAAGTGTTTTAGTATCTTAACTACATATTTATAGGCTGTATTACCAAAAAAATATTATATTTTTAGGGTAACGGTGTCATTAAATATGATGCCAAACATTCAAAGCTTAATTTTAATATCTCAATAATAGCTTTGAATGTAAATATGTTGTGACAGTATGGCGTTTATATGAGAACAGTCAGAATGAGCAGTATGGTAATTCTAATAGTTACAGAATTCTAGTTCCACTGTTAATATATCCTACTCTCATGTCTGTGCTAACGCAGAATGAAGCGAGTGCACCGATGCCCATTCTGACCAATCACAGATGTTTCTGCTGAGCTCCTGAACACACAGGCATTCAGCTCATGCTGATCTGCTCTCTCATTGGCTGCAGCTCGTCACTACATCTGACCACACGTGGGGTTGAGTCGGCCGACTGCTCTGGAATATTTAGCATGCTGAATGTTGGATTTCCGTCTGCGAGGTGTCGGCGACGCGTCAGCGAGCCTCGTTGATGCGTTGTTCAGTAGTTCACACATAAAGAGCGGCGAGTGCAGAGCACCCGCAGATTTCTTCCTGATCACAGCCCGATCTGTCGGCGAGCTCGTTAACTTCCAAATCGGGCTCAAATCAGGCTTAAAAATCCTCTAGTGTGAACTAGGCATTAGGATGAAAGGATAAAATTAAGCACAGCCTGATGTTTATTTCTCATTTCAGGACCGTTTCAAGTGGATCTCACTGACAATCTTAACTTCCGATTCATGCCAAGTTAAACTGGTGTAAAATACAGTGCATCACATCTCACATCAGCTCATCTGTAACGCATCTGCTTGTTTTACACTCGCCGGCCAGCAGCTGGTTTTGTGAGCAAGTGAAGCTTTAAGTCAGGGGTGTCCAAACTCAGTCCTGGAGGGCCGGTGTCCTGCTGAGTTCAGCTCCAACTTGCTTCAACACACTTGCCAGGACGTTTCTAGTGTATCCAGTAAGAGCTTGATTAGCTGGATCAGGTGTGTTTGATTAGGGTTGGAGCTAAACTCTCCAGGACACCCCTGACTTGTGAACCCTTTTGTGAAGCACTCATCTCGCCATCACTGCATCTTTAACAGCTTTTCTCACCGGCTGGCGAGGAACTTGCTCCTCCAGACGTCACACTGAATGCTCATGCGCTCCAGCTGCTCCGCCGTGTGCGACAGGTTTCGGCACAGAGTCTCGTTCTCCAGGATCAGGTGGTTTTTTTCTCTCGCCAGGCGCTCAAAGTGATACTGCAGATCATCACCGACTGACGCCACCAGCAGCTTCTTCAGCTCACGGTTCACCTGAGACACACACACACACATTTTACCCCCCAAAAAAAGACACAAATAAATAACAGAACCCACAATATCCCAATCACACTAAAATAATCCAGATTTTATACTGACGGTGAGACTAAAGAATGGAGGAAAAGAGTAAAAAAAAGCAAAATAATACGTTTCAGTAAAGTAAGTAGATGTTGGTCGTAGTCGTATAGACCCAAATTTCATATTAAGGGTTCAGCAGTATTTATGCAATATTCCAAAATGTGCATAAAAGTAGGTGGACGGACAGAGAGTGATTGAGAACATGTGTCTCTATATGAAGAGCTTTGCTATCGGTGATAAAGAATGTTGCTGCATCCCAATTTGTGTCCCAAACCATATAGACTGATTTCACGCGGCCGCCATTTTCAAAAGCGAAATCGAGGCTGAGGTGGGAAGAAAACCGGAAGTATCATTGGGAGTTACATAGGAATGTTGTGTAACTGGCTGTATATCTTATCAGCAGGGAGAAAGTGACACAAATTTATCATTTCACCGCCTTCCCGGTGACCCAAAGGGCCGTTCTGAATGAATGGTGAATATAAAAAGGGATATCAGAGCTCAATTTCAGCTAAGGGAAACGGCACTAGTTAGCTAATGTTTTCTTTCCCAAACACACGTTTTAGATGCTCTTTGTCAAACTCGAGTTAATAAACTGATTCTTTCACTATATTAGACTTGTCACGATACTGAATAAAAAAAAAAACGGCAATTTCGCGCAAACATTTAAGGCAATGTTGATGGCTTTCTTAAACAGCGCTGATTTGCCTTTGTGTTCACATGTTCAACAGAAATTATTGTGATTGGCCGAGAAGGTCATCAGTTCACCCACCGCTGTATACTGAGCACAAACACAGACGAGCCGAACGATCTGCTTGATGACTCGACTGATCTTGACGGCTGTTTGCACTGGGTGAAGAGCGGTAAACTGAGCGCAAACCAAACACAGATACACGGAGACTGAAGCGCGAAGCCGTGAAGATCAGTCGTGTCGAGACATCCGCGCTCAGCAACGCTTCCATGTTAGCGGGGAAATAGCCGGGTTTAAAACTTCAGTACCAGGACAACACTATTACAGACAACACGAGGGTGTGCTGCAGAGGACTGCAGTGTTTTACTGCTCACCGGGTTACACAGACTGAAGCAGGAAAGCGTCCTCACAGTGTTTAACTAGTGCCATGAGCTGAAGCCTAGGAGGACACAAGCGTATCACTGAGATTATGATGTTGTTTGATGCTAAATTTGCTTTTAATTGTTTAAAATAAACTCACTAAATAATATTAAAGTGATGGTTACACCATTTTCTGCATTTTGAAATCTCGGCAACAGCTGGAGGTTTGTAGTACACGGCATGTTACTGCAATGTTTACAGTGCTCGTCCTATACTTCCGGGTTTCTTCCCACCGCAGCCTCGCTTTGGTTCTTTAAAATGGCGGCCGCGTGAAATAAGCGTATTATTTTGAAAGGAGTATGCCAAAGGTTTCCAGGTGCTCTACTATTTCCAGTAGAATATTGAAGTGTACAACCAACCGTACTCGAACCGCTATTACCCACAATACAATGCACATTGGATGTGAATTAGATTAGAACTACAATCTTGAGTAAAAAGTGTGAACAAGCTACAGAAATAGCAGATGCACAAGACCAATCATCAGGTAGAGAGGCTTCAGTAAAACTATTTTAATGTCTAGCCAACTGGAACATATTTAAATCCCTTTTATAGCGTTATACTTTATAAGCAACAATGTGAACTTCTATAAAGATGCTAACTTCTGTTAACGGACATTAACCTCTAAATCTGTAATTATCCAAACACCCGAGGAGATTTCTCTGCATGAAAGGACTGGTAAACGGCAGATTAACACACTGCTGCTGCTAAATCTACAATAAGGTAGGGAATACCTTATCATAATAACCCATATATTAACAGGAATTAAATATAGTAGTATATGTATGCATTATAGGAACATAGCATGTATATCTGACCTCGGTCTGGACCCTCAGCTGGTTGGACAGGCCTTCTTTATCCTGCAGCAGGCGTCTCTCTGAGCTCTGCAGTTTCTCCAGGCTGTTCTTGTACTCCTGCAGCGGCTCTGCTGGAGGTGGAGGTGAGGGTGGAGCAGGTGGAGGCTCGTCCCCGTGTTGAGGAGACCCCCTGTCATCAGTGTGCGCCCCTGAGCGCCCGGTGCGGATGATGGCAGCCCGGGGAACCACGATCCTCACTGCCTCCAGCTCCAAACAGGCGTCCCGGCTCACCTTGCCCAGGTGCAGCACTCCTGGAGACCCGGTGGCCACTCTCGGGCTGTGTTTAGGAGAGCAGATCTTCTGGAGCGGGGCCTCCGTCAGCTGCTCAGGGGCTGGCAGGGGTTTATCTGTCTCCATGCCATCGCCAGGGCCCCGCACGGCCACCACTGACACATCTGACACACACAAACCCACATTAATACATGCATATGTACATGTGTATTTATATATGCACAACTATATGCAATAAAGCATAAAACAAGGTAAACATGGATTTGTGTGAGGTTCAGCAAACGATGCCTTGAACAAGAAAATCAAACATATCTATAAAAACACACAAAAATACGTAAAATAATGCAAAAATAAGCATTATTTAAAATAGCATATTATTTAATATGTTGGCTGTTTTACCAAAACTGCAATAATACTGATTATGATCATTTTGTTTACTATAATCATGATATGAAATGTTTATATTGTTCATGTCTAATGTGAAGCTCAGCTGATATGATGTACAGATCAGCTCACCTTTAATGATCAGTTCAGCAGACATCATTACTGCACACTCCTTTTCCACTTCCAGAACACAACACTGCTGGACACCTCTGAAAACACAACAAACATTTATTCAATATTTAATTCAAATGCTATGATGCAACAGTCCATATGACGCCTGCACAGTCAAACAAAAAATAAACACTGCTTTCTTATTAAATAAATAAACATCTTTAACAAAGAAAATCAACTATACCACCTGTATTCAGCACAATATTGTTAAAACATCGACATAACGAAAAAATAGGAATAATAAATATGAATAATTCTATATAGGTACCATTTCTATAACTTAACATTTTGAATTAAAGTGTAATTATGAAGCATGTTTATTTATTTTTATTTAATTTTCCTCAGATTTAATAAACAGCTATATATATATATATATATATATATATATATATATATATATATATATATATATATATATGATGTATTATAATGTTATATAATGTTATATAATGTTATATAATGTTAAAATGTCTATGTGATTTGTACAGTCAAAAGTTAAAATATAATGAAGATTTTTTGCATTTTATTCAAAATATATGTGTTTTACGATTTGACATACCAGCATCATCTGCACTAAAATATTTTACTATTTTTACAAATACTATGCAAAAATATTTTAAACAAATTTCATATGAAAAAAGTGTTTTGTTTTTTTTATTTTAGGTTACGACAAAATAACATTTAAAAAACAACTTTTTAGGCATATATAGGTGCGTGTGAGATCCAATCTGGCGAAATGAGTCAGAAGTCGCACCGTTCTATTTTAAGGTACAGGCCAATAAATGTGAAAAAACTATGAAAAAATACAATTCTTTTTGTAGCTAATTTCACAGAACATTCATTCAGAAATAATATGTCCAGATTAGTGAGTAAAAGTATTTAAACGACTGTTAAAGTTGACTTAAAGCTTTACTAAATTAACTGGAAATGAACATTGCTTTCCTCAACTTCTTTCGTCCCTCTCTCAATATTCTGATCGAGGTAAAGTTAGTTTTATATTCACGCATTTATTCAGTGACAACTTATATTATTCAGCTCCCTATATTACTTACAAAGCCACTTAGAATGTTGGGACTGAATTTACATGCAAGAATGATTTCACAACAACATTAGCGCTATTTAATTGACCAAACAATGTTGTACTTTGGCAGTCATTGGCTGATAATATGATTTCACTATTTACAAATTGCAAAGAATACTTTTCTAAAAGAATAACATTATAGAGAAAGTCTGAATGTGCAAATATAAAACCAACTTTACTCTGGGTATCCCCTGAAAACCAACTTTACCTCTATCTGAAGCGTCAGTATCTCTGCTCTTCAAATATGATGCGTTGTATAAAACCAATCACACAGCTTAAAATGAACACAAATATGTAGCTTTAAAATATATTAAAAAAAAAAACATTGCTAACATTCTGGGTTAACCATTTCACTGTATACTAATGTTTCAGCACTCCTGTGTGCTGTTAATCAGACTGAGCGTGTAACCAACCAGCAGATAAACATGAATGAATCAGGATGGATCAAGCAGAGCTGCTGGTTTACTGTTATGACTGGATAATCCGCCATAAACAGATGAGGTGATGCAGTATATCAATCAAAACCAGCACAGAAGATCTGTTTACTAATCAAGATAAGCTTCAACATAACTAACTCATCAGAAATCCTCAAAGTGTGTCTTCAAAACACAAACACGTGCTGCTGCTGGAGAAATACTCGACCTTTGTGCTCTTTATCTCTGTTTGTTTATCTGGTTAGCGGCTAGTCTGCGTAAACACCACACAAAAATACCAAAACAAGTCATTTTCGGATGGTAAAACTAGTGAAAATAGGTAGCGAGGTTAATCTAAAAAATTCAGTAAGATACACTAAACTCTCTGAATTATAAATATTGATGTTTTAGTCATTAATTCTGCCACGTACCTTGGAGTGTCGAGTTCACACAGGCATCTCGAAACCGGAAGCGGCTGAAGATTTGTGACGGAACTGATGAAGGTGGAACCATTGTGTCCAGCACCTGTTTCCGGGGAAAACGGAGCGGTTGTTATGTTTTGGCTGCTGTGAGAAGGTCTGTGTGACATTATTATTATAATATCAGCATTTCTAACTCTATAATTAAAGCCATAATAGTCCAATTAAAATGCAGCAATAAGCGTAAATATAATAGTGCAGTGATTAATGTTAAACACAGCCGGTATATTTGTTAACAGTATATTGACGTGGAGTTTTGTACTGTATAGTTGTTATACTGGAGAGTTTGAGAAACTATTATGATCGCTTATAACTAACCCATGACCATCATACAGTTACTTGATAAATTAAATATAATTATGATACAAAAGGTCCGAATTCTATCCTAATCATAGTTATAATATTTAATATAAGTCATGTATAAGTAACTATAAATCGAAATTAGGAAATAAATATCGATAAAAAGTTCACATAATAGTACACTAGCTCGTAATAAAAAATAGAAAAAATAGTTCAGACTTTTACATTCATAACTACAATTTTAGCTCACAGTTTAGTCTTGTTATGGCGTTTATTTTCCATAATATCATTCTTGTATCCAAATATTTGTACATATCATCACAGAATAATGACTTTTTATAATTATGTGCTTAATAATCTGGTTGTTTTGACTTTAAAACTCATAATTGTATTTGTATTAGTAAGCCACAAAAGGTCAAAAATATTAGAAGAATATTAGAATAATTTTAAATGATTACAAAAATAGGACATATTAAAAATCTGACTTTGTATATTTTTTTAAATGACCATTTATTCTTTCTTTTCTCGTAATTATGACTTTTACCTGTCATAAGTTTAACCTTTTAGCTCATACAATGACTTTGTCAAATAAATTTCAATATTATGATATAGAAAATCTGTTTTAATTTCATATTTATAACTTTTACCTTTATTAAAATTCTTATAATTATTATTTTTTAAATAATTTTGACATTTATCTCATATTTGTTAGATACTTTATACCCTCACAATTACAATTGACCACAGGGTGCAGAAGGTTGTGTGCAGAAGCAGGTCTGTTGTGCTCAAGTGTGTGTGTGTGTGTGAGCAGCAGAGATGGGAGTTCATGGACTCTGGAAGCTCCTGGAAAGCACCGGAAAACCCATCAATCCAGAAACACTAGAGGGGAAGATCTTAGCTGTCGGTATCCTTCACATGACAAAATATAGTTGTATTAAATCACGCATGAAATCAAAATGTACAGTTTATTTTGCTAGCGCACATTGTTAGGGAGCAATTAATCCATGCAAGTCAATCCACGGAAAATTACTGGCATAGATTAGTTGTAAACCTAACAATGTGTGCAGGCATAATAAACAATACATTTTGATACGTTTGTTCATCTTTAATCAAAATCTGCTCATCTGCTTCTGCTCTGCAACAGCAGTCCTTCTCTGATGACTTAGATTGGGTGAAATATGCTTAGCCACGCCCCTCCACCCATTAGTTTGCTGTGAGTGAAAGATGAGAGGCTGGGCTCTTAAATAAACCCCAACCCCTACTCAATATTCGATTTAAGTTAGAAATACATCAACATACTGGAATGAAAGTCTGGTGTACACGGACATTAACAGTGCTATTTTAATAAAATAAATCTCAATACAATTTTTAAATTCAATTTTATTTTTAAATATCTTGCATAAATTGTAGTTTTTATTAAGTTAAAATCCACATGAAATCAAAATTGACAATGTTTATTTTCCAAGTGCACATTATAACTCTTAAGGTGGACAAATATCCCATGCAAGTTAAAAAAATGTTTGTTTTGTTAATCTTTAATCAATATTTTGTAATTTAATTAACATTTTTATCAAAATCTGTCCATCTGCTTCTGCTCTAGAACAGCAATAATTTCCTGATGATTCTGATTGGATATGCTTAGCCACGCCCTTCCAACCATTAGTTTGATGCGAGTGAAAGATGATAGGCGGAGCTCAAAAATAAACCCCACCCCCTACTCAATATTCAATTGTAAATATCTCAGCATACGTTGACGTCTGAGCATTTCCTTAATGACTGCCTGACAGACATCAGCATCTGGCTGAACCAGGCGGTTAAAGGTGTTCGAGATCGCGATGGGAACGCAGTGCAGAACGCTCACCTGCTCACGCTCTTCCACCGCCTCTGTAAACTACTGTTCTTCCGCATCAGACCTGTGTTTGTGTACGATGGAGACGCGCCGCTGCTCAAGAAGCAGACCCTGGTGAGATCCACAAAACACACACACATCTCAACATCAACATTTACTCTCAGTCATGTTCATTTCTGTCTTCATGAGTCATAAGAAAATATAAATAAATATATAGTGTACATTCCCTCTATGTGATCTTTAAGACAGGGGTGCCCAAACTCAGTCCTGGAGGGTCCATGTCCTGCATAGTTTTAAGTAGGTGTGGTGACCTCCAAGTGGGAGGGACTTAAACTACAAGTAGGCTGGGTTTAAGTGGTGTAGGTGGAGCAGATATTAATAAAGCACATCAGGTTAGTGTGAAGTTGGGTTGAGGGTTGGGGAAGATATAGACATTCATAAAGCACAATATTGGACTGTGTGTCATGTACAAGGCATTAAATAAATAAAAACTCCAGCCCACTTGGAGCTCGAGGCCCACCCACATGGAGCTGGCTCCGACCTCCGTTTATACCCTTCTTCATAGTTTAGCTCCAACTTCCTTCAACACGCCTGCCTGGAGGTTTCTAGCATATCTAGAAAGAGCTTGTTGAGATGTGTCTAGTTGGGTTGGACACCTCTGCAGGACACCAGCTCTCCAGGGCCGAGTTTGGACTCCTCAACTCTAGACTTGTGTGCTGTTGGGTCATTTTCACAATGTCTGGGCTGATTTTGAGACTTTGGGTTCTATCATATACCCGGCGCAATGTGGCGCAAGGCGCGGCGCAATACTTGTTTGGTAGTTTCAGCTTGGCGCAAGAGTGGTTTTGAGGCGTTGCGCTAGGCTGTTTAAATAGCAAATGCATTAGCGCTCATATGTGCGCCCATAGGCGTTCTGCTCTAAAAAGGAAGGTGTTCTGAGGCGCACTGCTGGCGCGTTGCTATTATGAGAAACTATAATAGATTTTTCATTAGACCAAAACAAACCCGGTCTAAACTCCAGCGCAGAGTTGCACCTCGCTTACACACTGCTTAATACACACAAGAGAGCAATAGGCAAATATCTTTACATACGAAAAAATGTAAATATTAAGGATATATATAGGATATAATAAGAATAGATATAGGATATAAATATAAAGGATTAAAATATTACAAAACATATTGTTTTCTAGCCTACATAAATATGAAAAATCACTGCTTTTATGTCTTCTTCATCTCGGGAGGCTTTTTCAGTTCATTCATAATAATTTGCTTTTGTATAATGTTATTATTATTAGCAGTATTATTTATTATATCCATATTTATATTTGTTTTATTAAAAACAAGCTTAGATTTGCCCACCTGCAGGTTTTAGACCATATGGGGCACAGCATGTGTTTTAGGATATAACTCAGGTTTTTGAACACACTTCATTATTATTGTTCATTTATTCGTTTGCTGGAAATTAGAACTGAATTTAGAAATAGTTTTGAAACGAATATTTGCGCTTAACAAACAAAATTAATTATTTATAGACTAATTGATGTCTGTGTGTAAAGGTTTCCCTATCCAAGAGCCAAAGTGATCCATTATCTCTCATTCTCACGCAGTAGATGCTCTGTTTAACTGTTTTCTGTTAATAAACTGTTCACTGTTTGCTTGTGAAATGCTCAGTTTTTCCACTTACAGTTACTTTGCGTCCTGTAAATAGCGAATGCTCTTATGGCGCGGCACTGCTGGCTGTTAAAGGGAATGGGAGATGAGACTCTGATTGGTTTATTCTCAAAACACACCTATAACTCATTAAGAAAATAAACTCAGTCCTTTTAGACCATGCGTCACGGCGCAAAGCGGATTTTCCCGTCCGTAAATTGGCAAAAATGCGTTCTGACACGCCCTGAAAGCGTTTGCGCCCTGCGTTTTGCGCTCTGCACATGGACCATCAAAATAGAGCCCTTTCTCTGTGTTTCAGCAGACGGAATGGTTTTTGGTGACAAATATTATTTGGACACTTATAAATCTGTGTTTGACACAGCTAACTGACTCCTCTTTGGTGATGTTGGGGCTGTTTTTGCCCCTTTGACTTTCATTATAATCACATTAATCGATTGCAAAGTCATGACAGCAGATAATCCTGCATATATGGAGAAACATCCATGAACACAAGTTTAGACTAAGATGTACTGTAAACGCCCACCGTTCTGATTGGCTGGCAGTTTTGCATATTAACAGAGCTCGACACAGTGTTCAGTTCTGAAACCTGCAGGATGGTATTCAGCACTATGAGCTCTTACACATTTCTCACTTGATTAATCTCGTTCTCCTCATCAGGCCGTGCGCAGACAGCGGAGAGAGGAGACGAACCGAGAGTCCAGACAGACCAGTGAGAAGCTCCTGCAGACGTTTCTGAAGAGGCAGGCCATCAGAGCGGCTCTCGGGGAGAACAGGTGAAAGATCACGCTATTCACATGTGCTGATGCTTAAGCTCTGCTCTGAGTTTGTGTGTATTGTACAGCAATGGTACTGTAAAGCACTTTGTGACCTTTGCTCTTGAAAGTTGCTGTAGAAATAGTGAATGGGGTGATTTGAGATCCAGCAACAGTTGTGCTTCTGGGGGTGGGGTGGGGGGTGGTATGGGGTCGGGTTGGTGGAGGGTTTGGACAATTCTAAGTGACCCCCCCTACCCTCCAAGCTCTAGCCCCAACAAACCCCCCCCGCCCCTCCCTTCTGACTTTGGTCCTTTGACAATGCTTTCATTGGGCCCGTACTTGTCCAGCAGTTCTGTCAGTGTGTGTGTGTGTGTGTGTGTGTGTGTGTGTGTGTGTTGTGTGCAGTCAGGAGTCAGCGCCCAGCCTGTCGT